AAGCCTGCAGCCCCTGAGAGCCTCTTCAGAGGGGGTTGTTGGGATAGAGGTCAGGAGAGGGCAACAACATGCTGGGCCCTCACAAGCATCGCTGTCTTTTTCCAGCATTTGTCCACACACATTGGCTGCACTGACATTTCCTGAGGGCTTGATATTTGCAAACTAGCCCCTGGCTGATATGCCAGTGAAGATACAAGGGATAGAGAAGACCCAGTTCCTCAAGTCGAGGTGTGGCCAGGGCTGTGGTCTCCCCTGAGGCCCATGTGCCCCTAGTTTAAAGCCAGAGAAGACTCTTTCTTCAGGCAGGGCCCCCCCTCCACCCCATAAAAGTTCCCCTGATGAGGTCACGCCCAGCCAGGGCCACCTCCTCTCCAAGTCAACTGATTAGTAATCTAATTATGGAAGTGACAGCCCATCCCAGTCACTGTTCAGAGGAAGAGTCTTGGGGCCTCTTAGACCCCCCCACCACTACCCTTATCAACTGCAACTTCCACTCACCCCTACTCCCAGGTAATCCTTTTCCAGAAACCAGACTCATTTTCTTAAAATGCACCATCTGTCACGTGTCACAGCAACTGAAGAATGCATGCTGCTTCCCTAAATGGCAAGTCAGAGGCTCATAGGATCACCACGGGAGTTCTACTCTGGGAGAACAGAAAAATACCTTTACCTTCTTATTCATAGTCCCTGAAGATGTTGCTTTCCCTGGGTCTGGGGCCCTTTTGCAATGACTAAGGGACCAGGCCAGAGTCAAGTGATGGTGTAGGTGCCTGGGGTTGGGGACCTGAGTCAGGTGAGGGCCCTTTCGAGTGGCTCCTCAGCATGGGCCTTGAGCAGCCCTCCCGTTGGGGGAACTGCCAGGTACCCGGCAAAACTCTGCCTGGGGCCAGATGCCCCCGCAGTTACCTGTTTTATGACACCGAGAAGTCAGTTTGGGAGTTCTCCTTATCACGTGCCCATGGCTCCTAATATGGAATTCAAATGTTCCTCCGTTCCCACCAAATCAATGCCAAATACTTGCCTGACTTTCAAAGTTATCCATTACTGAATGAAAACTATGAACAAGACAGAAAAGTATCCAGAATACAGAATTGGTTTAATTGTCTGTACATTGGAATTTTACTGTCAAAGAATAGTGCCAAGGAAATAGTCTATAGATATGAAAAGATTTCCAAAATATGTAAAAAATTCAAGGTCCAAAATAGAAAATATCACTGTTTTAAATATATGCATACATACAGCCGAACCACTGTAAGTTGACCACCGAAGTGTCTGTAACACACTGGTCAACATTCAGAGGTGGTCGACAAAGGAAGTTGGCCTGCCATACTGATTCATACATGGAGAGCATGTCTGTTTAGTCTATGAAAATTAGGTCAACCTAAGGAGGTGGGCAATGTAGGGAGGTAGTCAACTACAGGGCTTCTACTGCATAGGAATATATGTGTATGTACGCATATATTCATATAGGAGAAATGTCTGAATAAATAAAAAGTAAAATGTTAAAAAGAACTAATGCTGCATAAGAAAAATTGTGTGATTTTCTTCTTCCCTTTTAGTTTTTCTTCAGTGAGCATTTACTGTTTTGTCCACTCAGAACATTACCCACCAATTCTTGGGAAAATGGGCTTTGACTAGACCCTCTCCCCTGCCTCACATGAGTAGACCAGTGATGGGCACAGGGCATAAGCCAGGCCAGTCCGAGTCTACCTTGAGGGCTGGTGAGGAAGGTCTCTGAAAGAGCCTAGAACCTTGGGCCCAGTTTCTTGGGGAGGTCTGGCACGAGGGAAGGAAGTTTAGTACATAGAGTGGAGTGAGAGTTACTTCGGTGTGGAGTAGGAGACTGCAGCAGTGTGGCCCGAGGAGCACACTGGGGCTTCCCTGTCCCGAGATAACTACCCCGAGATACCAGGGCCAAGACTGTCTCCTGGAGAAGCAGATCTGCAACTGGAGGAAGAGAGCGGAAGTTAAGAATGGAGCACTGGGGCATGCGAGTTGGAAGGGACACAGAGAACCTGACCCAGAGAGAATGAAAATAAGGTTCAAAGTGGAGAGGAAATGGGGCAGAGGCAAGAGAGGGCTCTGACGTCTTGTCACTTTAGAAGAGCCCATTTATCCCCATCTGCTGCTGTCAAGAGATAAGAGGATGAGGCCGAGTTTTCCCCTAGAAGAACAAGGTAAATGCATTCAACACACAAGCTGGGCATCTCCTATGAGCAAGGCACAATGGCCCAGATCTGGGGGGAGCTGCCTGAAGCCACCACACGGAACCTCCTGTCCTTGTCCAAGGACTCCTGTCTACCCACAGTTGGATACTATTCCATACAGGGATCATCCTCTGTAAAATAACATTATTTCTAATATCCAGGGAAACAACATTATACCACTTATTTTTATCTTTTAAGAGACAGTCACACTATGTCCCCCACGGTAGAGTGCCGTGGTGTCACATAACTCACAGCAACCTCCAGTTCCTTGGCTTAGGCGGTTCTCTTGCCTCAGCCTCCCGAGTAGCTGGGACCACAGGCACCTGCCACAACGCCTGGCTATTTTTGTTGCAGTTTGGCCGGGGCTGGGTTTGAACCCACCACCCTTGGTATATGGAGCTGGCACCCTACCCACTGAGCCACAGGCGCTGCCCATATACCACTTATTTTTTTAAAGGCACATTTAAAGAATATTTATCAAGCGTCTGATATGCAGCAGATATTGTGCTCAGCTCGGTGAATATAACAGTGACCAACAGACAAATCATCCCATTCCTATCACCAAATGAAGAATTGGAACTGTGTTCAGAGCTGTGGACAGCATGGGCCTGGGCAGGGACAGGACAGAGGTTCTGGCCATACTGGAAAGGCTGGCAATGCCTCAACTGGGCGTGTGGAAGAGGTTACCTACATGAAGAAAGGTAGACTCCAGCATTCACCCCTGTGGGAACCACCTCCCAGTTCACCCGGCAGGCCTGTGCCGAGGATCTGAGAGATACCGTGTGAGTAAGGCGCATCTAAACCAGTCTGACTGAAGGCATTTGTACCTTTAAGGTCTGAGGTGTGCCTGAGGTTTCTCCAAGACGGAGGCAAATCCAGCGCTGATTGTCGGGAGCACAGTGCGCCCTGCCTGGCAATCCTTCCACCAGTGCTTCAAAGGTGAGCACTAAAGCCACACATCGGAGACAGGAAACAGGGTGAGAGGCTGAAAAACTTCCCCAAGGTTGTCCTGGCAGTAAGTGGTGCAGCCAGGATGGTAGCCAGGTCTGTGCAGCCCCATGCAAGGCGATGGCTGCCAGGTCCATCTCAGAAGGTGTAAAAGTGAGCAGCCGTCAGCCAACACAGGAAAGGAAAGAAGCAACAATGGTTATTGAGGAAATTAGACTCTACGTTCATTTCTGAAGGTGGCACATTGCCTGCATTGGCTATTGGGCACTTTGGGACTAGGAAGGTCCATCTGTTCTCAACACTCTGCTTCATCAAGGCTCTCTGACCAGCAAGCGTTAGTGGGAAAGGAAATTGTGAGGGAGCGAGTGTGCAGGGGGGAGGCTCAGCTTCGCAGCAGAGATAGGGCTGGCTGGAGCAGGAGGGGGAAAAGATTCCTTCTCATTTTCCAAATGTTTAGAGATAGATCATTATTAGAGGCTGACACAATGGAGAGGCATTCATCTTAACATTATTTCTACTTAAGAGGATTTTTTTTTTAAAGACAGTCTTATTGTGTCGCCCTCGGTAGAGTGCCATGGCGTCACACAGCTCACAGCAACCTCAAACCCCTAGGCTTAAGCAATTCCAATCTTGCCTCAGCCTCCCACTAGCGGGAACTACAGGCATCCCCACAACGCCTGGCTATTTTTTGGTGCAGGTGCCATAGGTGGTTAGCTGGCCCGAGCAGGGTTCGAACCTGCCAGCCTTGGTGTATGTGGCTGGTGCCGGAACCCCTGTGCTATAGGCACCGAGCCTCTACTTAATAGTTTTTATCAAGATCATTCTCAAATACTTTTCTTGTCTCTTTAATCTGAGACTAATCTCCAAGGATAAAATCATCTCTGATTTAATCCCAAACCAGATCAAGACATCTCTCTTTACTTCAACTTCCCTGGGTCTCTCAGACGGAATATTTTCCATTCAGTTTTATTGTCAGTCACTCCAGGCGAAGAGTATGGATCAAATTAGCAGAGAAACTTGAGTTTGTAAGCTAACCTTTTAGTGTGATGTTTAATTGTAGTCATTTAAAAAAAATATTCATATGTCTCTTTTTCTTTCCCCTAAAAATGACATCATTTTCTTTTTGACCTTTTCAAAGTTCCTTGGATTGATGGCGCTTTACCTTTTGGCTAAGAATTCACCATCTGGGAAACCAGTCATTGCATTGAGAACTCCCCAAAGGACAAACCATATGCCTGGACTTTTCTAACACTTAAATACTAACATGTGTTTCACGATTAATTTAAAATTGGTCTGTAGTTTTTTCAGGTTAAATCCAGGCCCATTCTGTTTCAGCTATTAATTTGGGTAAGTCTAGGCTACATACGACTAAAGACTTCCCTTCTCCCTTTATGAACTTCTATTTAAGATAACTTTATACTTTAAAATTACTGGGGTTTTGCCAAATTGATGACTGTATTTCCAAATTCAGTTAAGCTGAAGTATGTATGTATATTTATTTCCAGACTCTCCATAAATGTTTACACTATCTTCAGAGGAAATAAGTTAAAAACCCACACATTAAGGAGTATTTCTCACTTACGAATGCTGGATTCCCACAATTCATTTTATGCTAGCTTTTCTGATAAATAAAATACTGATTTAATGGAATAGAAGGATGGCTCTTATACTCATAGCATAGCAATATAGTCAAATATTAAAAATATAACTATAGCACTATATAATTTCTTCACATTCATTGTAATTCTTATGGGCTAGAATAAAAATACTAACAACAAAACAGAAGTCACTTATCCTAAATGCTTAAAACAGAAGGAAAAACAGTAATACCCAGATTTATTGGTATAAGATGTAAGAAAATATATTTATTTTTTCCATGACAATACTATGATAAAATTGTTAAATACATGCACATTTTAAAAACAGACATAAGTAACATCTTTAGAGTTAACAGCCAAGCATACTAGTTTTATATTTATGGTGTCTTAGTAATTATTCTATGTTCTTGCTATAACTGTGTTTTCCAAAAGACATGGAAACTAAATTCTGAATTTATACAATGATGTAAAATGTCCAAATTACCCATTCTAACAGCAACATAATATCCAAATTTTCGTAAGGCAGGAAATATTTCAGTTGCCATCTCTGTAAGTGGGGTTGTTTTATTCCAATTAAACCCCTAATTCTGTGAATCAGACTGAATCACATAAATATACTTCAATTTATAGTTTACTTCCTATACATGGGTCATTATGAAACTTTTGAGATACACAAAAATCAAGAAACGAAAATAATCTGAGCAAGGTGGAAGCTTGCATGGGTCAATCCTACAGATGCTGTTGACTTTGTTTCTTGGAAGTGATAATGGCCCATAATATGGTCTGCTCAAAAGTTTCACAGTGACCCACATTTTTGGAAATTTAAGTGTTTCCTTAAATTATTAAACATGATTTTCAGAACTACACATCATAATTGATCATTCACATTAAAAAGAAAAAGAAGAAATGTCTGTAGTGGTAACATTTCGAGGAAGAAAAAGGGGAAGTTTTAGATTGGCAGTTTCTCCCTATCTTCTTTCAGCTACGTCTACAAGCACGTGACCAAACAAAAATTAGTAAACAGTTACTAGTATTTGTAAAAAACTGAAAATATTCAACATAGAACACAACCTTTAAAAACAAACACTCATTCTACAAACAACCTTATGAAAGACAAAAACTTGCATCTGTTCACAGTATGTGTATTTTGTAAACAGTAATTCGCTATAATGTAATTTTGAAAGTAAAAAATGGTAATTTCCTAGTGTTATAAGGACTTTGATTTATAGCCAGCAAGTGAAAGACAAGAAAAAAGAAAATTCCTGCTAGGAAAGTTGAGTATTGAAAAATCATTTATTTTACCTTTGAATATACCTTAAGGATAGTACTATCTCAAATCTAGGATTTCTATTTCTCTGTGCAGGCCAATCTTTTTCAAGCAATTCTGAACTGAAATGTATTGAACAAAAAGGCATGCTCCTTTATGAGAAAATATTAGGATAGAACGAATCCCAGGGTATCCATAATGTAACACCTACACCTTCACAACAACGGTTTCTTTTTTGCATGCTGTATTCCACTATTCACAACACTATTCACATTTTTTCTAAACATTAATGTTGGAAGGAAAAAATTAAATAGAAGGAGCCACTAGCTTATGTGATATTAGAAATAATGAGGAAAGTATTTGGAATCAAACTGGGAAAAGATGGAAAACTAATTTTTATGAAAACCATTATTCAGTGTTCTTCTCTATCATCGATTGCAAAAATACTTACACTAATGTTAAACCTAACAGTTTACAACTTTTCCATGTTTTAATAAAAACTGTATTACCACCTAGAAATATTTTGATACTTTATATTACACCACTGGAATGCTTAGGAAAACAGTAAAGTTCAGAAGTTAAAAGGTACTCATTTAACATGGAATACTTCTAAAGGGAAATATAATTTAAATGTATAAGGAAATCCAATAACTTAAGTGACCCATTCAATCAGGTGTGCATAGTATTTTCGGTTTAAATGCAACACATAAGGTCTACATTGTTAGCTTTTTTAAAAAGTTCTGACTGGTTACTGTAAAGGCAATCTTAGAAGACACGTAAGTGTAATAAAAATCAATTTCCTTATCAATTAGAACTTTTTCTCCCCACTCACATCTCTTTGTTTTTACAGTATTCAGTTCCAGCAACCAAAAAATAATATGTTATTAATGATTTGTTTTTGGCTAATATTCAATCAGTTATGGTTTAACTTCTATAAGAGCTTTTGAATTTATTGTTTCTGTGGCTCTTTAGCTAGGCACTTACACATACAAACATTCAGAGGGTTTCTTAATTTTTACAAAAATGCTGCAGAGTTAAGAATTCATTTTGTATAGGTAAATTCTGTTTATAATTTGGATGGATTTTATAATCCAAAATTTTAACATTCCTAATACAGGGAGAAATAAGTGCTACTCATTATTAAAAACAATAGAATCCTATCATAACCCAAAATCATAAAGATTTTTAGATATAGTCTAGAAAAAAAATCAGACCCCCGGAACCTTTATCATATAAAATAAAGCCTGACATATCAATTAATTAAATGTTATTCTTTGTCTTCTATGTTGGAATTAAAAATGGTTTATCTGTATTTTAATTAGCATGTATATAACCATGTAATAAGACAAAAGCACTAATTGAATGGGAATAAAAACCTCACAAAATAAGAGGTTTAAGTATTATACTAATAGTCCTGGTACATAACCTATAAAAAAAAAATTAGCCAAATTCAAACTGAGTCATTTCCAATGATATTCTAAGGCTATGTCTAATAGATAAATGTCCTGTAAGTTTGTCTACAAATCATTTTCTTCTATGAAAAATTCTCTTCTAGATATAGAAGAGGGGCATGACAGCAATGAAACTTTGATTCAGCAGGAAATAAAGGTTTAAAATAAATTTAATGCTTTGATGCACTAGTTCATCAAATGGTCACATTAATCAATTATCCTCACACATCAATGCACTGTTTATTTGCCAAAACATACACTGGTGGTACAGACATGTCCCTAGTTTTGTACTTATCAAATAAAAAAAAACTATCATCATTTAAAATCATGAAGAAATAAGCTGAGCAGGACTCTTTAACACAAATTGTAGAGCCATCTCTATAGTAGATTTGAATCTATGAGTTTCAGAGCCGATCTAGACTTGATATAAACCACCCTTCAGGAGAATTCCACTGCATCTATAATACTCTGGGATGGGACTCAGACAATAAGAATTAGTCAGTACACTTTCTTCATGTGCCTGAGTCTTTTTAACCTAATGATCGTAAATTTTGCTGTGAAAGGCTCAATTTTAAACTTTCAATATAAGGAAAAGAGGCATTTTGTAAAAGCTGTACAAATCTTAACATAGTTTAAAATAGAAAAAAGCAAAAATAACCTTAGAGCAAACCAACCAAAAATTCTATAAGATTATGTGTCCGTGAGCAGTCAAAACTTTGAGATAACATTTTTTTGAATATTGACATGTTAAGGAGCACCTAAATTTCAAAACACCACAGAACTGATTTCAAATTCCCTTTGTAAAAAAAAACACTTGCTAGTCTCCTTCACTAAACGACATTTAATTACCCAAATGCAAAAAGGACTTGTAATGATCTTTAAACATGGACAGTATGAAGACAATTAAGAAATTACAGGACTAATTTTCAACTATAATACAATATGCATGAAGTTTTAAGAATGTGACTTTTTACCAAACTTCTGAGAGTACAATAGTACTAGATGTTCTAAATGCCAATCCTTCACTTCATGAGCAGAGAAGTGTAATGCTGGTTTGGAAAAGGAGGCTGACACTTCCTCTTTTAAACTTCTCAGTGAGTGGCTGCTTCTGTGTCTAAGCTGTAGGGACAAAGCACCTCAACCACACAAGCACACAACTCAACTATCCAGATACTCAGGGCCACAGTTTCACATCCGGGCCTGTACAGGTTCAACAAATTGGAGACTTAAGAGTGCATATGTGTGTTAATCCATGCAATATAGAATTCACAAGGTTCACCTAATGTCAAAAGCCTAAGCTTTTAAGAGTATTTTTATTATTACTTAAAATAGCCACTCACAAAAGAAATGACCTCTATAACGATCTGATCCCCATTCCTCACAAGGGAAGCTTGATTTAAAACAGGCTTATAAACGAAATGACTTATAAGAGAGGTAAAAATGTGTCTTAAATGAAGTACTATTCAAACAGATTCCCTTTCTAACTGGTCCTTAATTATCCCCCTACAGGAGATGTAGCTAATCTGATTGGACAGGGTGCAACCATGATTAAAAGGCCTTCTACAGAGGCAAGATCTCTGCACTGACAAACAGGGCATGTCTGCCAGCCTCTCAAACTGGATACAAGACCAAGGCTGTTCTCCCCCTCCCCCTCCCTGTGTTAAGGCTTCCCCCAGATGTACAAGGAGGATGGGGCTGGGAGGTAACCACCACCCATCTGCACATGCGTCTGGCTATCTTCAATGAAATGGAGAAAGGCAAGGAAACCTGCTTTGGCCTCAGACTTGAAACGTGTTCATCTAAAATACAGCGAGGTATAAGGAGCATGCCAGACTAACAGAGCGTTACTCTGTCTCTTGTTAACCTAGTGCAGGGGATGGGTGACTAGCACTCTGAACTTCTTCATAAAGGACAAGCAGTGAATTCTTGGACAGAATGAAAGGACTTAAGAGCCCCAGTGATGTTCACCATTAGCCAAACAAATGAGTCATTCCTCCCATGGGTTAGGAAGGCACTGGGTCCACATGGTCACAGTTAAAATGCACATATATTGATGACAGAGATCACTCTCTCCTGTCCTTTTCCTGTTATTTCAGGTTAGCATCATTGAGATCAATAAACTTTTACCACAGCCAATGTTTATCCTTGTCCTAAAGAGATGAACACAGGAACAGAGGAAGAGGCATGAGTTGGCGCAAGTGGACGACAGTAAGGCCAAGCTTTGGAAGGAAGAGGCGGCTGTGCCAGGCCTGAGTGCCCGGACTGGAAGCTCAGGAAAGGAGCCAGAAAGGCCGGAAAGGAAGACGAGAGAAAACTGTGTAGCGATGGCTCCATTTTGACCTATTTTTCATTACTGAAAACCTCTATGAACTATTATACAGTTTTAATATACTATGTACATAATTAATTGTATGTCATTCCACATATCCATAATATGAAGCTTAGAAATTTAGTTGAATCCTAGTAGTTAAAAAATCAGGATTCATTCACAGAGTACCTAAATAGATTTTGTTCCTTGTTCTGTGGCTTTTTTCCACAGCGTGGTTTTTAAAAAGATACAGTATGAACTTGAAAAAAATAATTGATCTGCTCTTTTCAAATACATTACAGAACTTCAGATGACCAAAAAAAAAAAAAAAGCATATCTTATTCAGGTATTTTAAATTTTCAGGTACATTTGCCTTAACAATCTAAAGATAAAATATATAGACAACTGAGGGCAGGGGAAATACAAGATGTCTTCTCAGTTTTTTATTCTGCTTTCCTCAAAACCATCATCACTCTAGACGTCACTTATGAGAAACTCGGGTGGGCAGATGATGCCGTATTGAACGCTCAACCCTGCACAGCCCACCAAGCAACTGCGGTACCTGCCATACAAGTATGTCCATGGACTCCCACCCATTTATGACATTTACTCAGAGGCAGCCCTTGGCTAACTGTTTCTGGAAGCAGCATTCTCTCCTCAGCTTTATATTTTAAAACGCGAGGACTGAATCAGGTTAAGTCTGGAATGATGATCGTTCAAGAGAAAGGGAGAGGTAAGATTCAGGAATAGAAGCAACACTGGCAAGGAGGTGTCAAAAGATGATCTCTGTGTCGGTGACCAGGCTCAATGGCACGGTCTTCTCAGGAAGAATGAAGGCCAATCAGAACTAGATGGATAGCTAATGCCGTGACATATTGCTTAGTAGTCATGTCCCATGGTCAACCACTGGAATTATATGTTTATGAATAATATTGAATTTGCTCATATAAAGCTGACATTGTATCACAAAATGGTTTTTTTTTTTTTTTTAAAAAAAACTTGGGTCTATGGTCTTAGAGATTTAAATTTTAAATATTAGGGCAACTATTGCAGTAACAGAAGCTAGCAAAAAAGGGAACATATAATGAAAAGGCTTGCAAAACCCACCAAAACAAGAAAACATGATTCTGATTTGAGAGGGTCAGTGTCACACGTGTTCTCCAAGTTTGCACCCCTGAGACAACTGTTTGATTATCATTATACAGTAGGCACAGAAATCAGCATACTTTATCAGACAAAACACTAAATAGCTGTCACTACATTAAAAATTATATTAATTTTTGTAAATGCTGTGGATAGAGGAGAATAATCTTCAAAGTTTTAAAATCTGTGCTTGGAAAAGTCAGGCAAATAAACATCATCTGTTACTTTGGAGTTTTTCTCCCTTGCCTGCAAATCCGCTTTCAATTCCGTAAAGTATACATCTGAGAAAACCATTAACAACAGAACAGAAAATAGAGTGGCAGGGTTTGTTTTGCATGTATATAACTAGTCAGTATTAGCCATGAAGTGTTTCCTGAAGGTAGAGCATGTGAGAATTCTTTGGCTCGATCACAAAGAGCTCCAAATCTTGGGTTCTGAATTCTGAGTCACTAGACTTTGGCCTTTAAGACCACATTAAAAGCACATTAACACTTTGGTGTAACTTGCACGTGGTGAAGTTCACCTCACTAACAACAGTACTTCACAGAATTACTCCAAGAGTGCCCTGTGCTGACATCGCAACACTGGCAATAAGAGCTTATTGAGATGGCAGGTTGGAGTGACAAAGTGACACCGTTAATCATTCGGTTTGTTCTGAAAAAAGTTTGTAAAAGACCACCCTCCTCCATTCGATTTTGGAGAGTCTTCATCTTTAGGAGGAATCAAAAATTGTCGGGAATTAATGGAGCAAGGACTTCCAAACGAGACAATTTCACTGTTGCTGTCCATGGATCTGGGGGAGTCTGGCGATACCAAGTTCCAAGTATTTACATTTGCCTGAGGTCTGTAACCCGCAGTTTTATCTAAGTCATCTTCGGCAGCGAGGTCTTCTACAGCAGCACTGATGGGGAGATGCATTTGTGGCTTGTAGCCTGCCCCCCCTCCAGGGTCCCTCTCCAGCTCGTCTTCTGGTTTTGTCTGAGGCTGGTACATGGACTGAACGTCAATGTAGACCACCTGTGAAGCCCCTCCAGCGTCTTCTCCTGCTGGGTTCGGTATTTCTTCCTCAATAATTGGTGGACAATAGGACACAACCACATGGTTTTCAGGCTCTGCATCGGAGCTCTCCTCAGGACACTCAGCAACTGGGGAAATTATTTCTGTGTCTTCTATTTTGCAAAGTGTTGACCGAGTTTCCAGAACCTCAACATTATTTGGGGTACAAGGATTCATTTCCAATGTTTTAAGACCACTGCTTCCCTAAAAATAAATTTAAAAACAGTGATTGAGCAAAGTAGTGAGTGTTATTACACTATTCCCCACACAAAAGGGGCATTATCTTATTGTCCTCCATTTGCCTGTAAAGATGTGTCCCTGCACTTCTGTAGTCTATATAGAGAAGAGCCACCTGCTTCCTCCATATTAATATTTTCTTTGCTATTAACAGTAGTGGGGGAGAAGAACATCGCATAAACTAGCAGTCTCCAACCTTTCTGGCACCAGGGACACTTCATGGAAAACAATTTCTCCACAGATGTGGAGAGAGGGGAATGTGGACAGGAATTTGTAAGCACTGGATTTATTATGGTCTCTGTGCAGTCAAACCTCTCTGCTAATAGTCATCTGTATTTGCAGCTGCTCCCCAGTGCAGCTCCATCTCAGGTCATCAGGCACTAGATCATCAGAGATGTGCACAACCTTGATCCCTCAAATGCACAGTGTGCCGTAGGGTTTGAGCTCTGATGAGAACCTAAAGCTGTCATCTTCTGACATGAGGCAGAGCTCAGGTGGTGATGCCCACGCCATGGGGAGGGCTGTAAACACAGACGAAGCTTTGCTCCTAGCTGCTCACCTCTTTCTGTGCAGCCCACTTCTTAACAGGCCAAGGACAGGTACCAGTCTATGGCCCAGGGGTTGGGGACCACAGCCATAAACAATTTACTTAGCATTAATAATTTTATAAGTTGAGCAGATGGTAAAGCATGCTATTTTCTCAATACTTTTTACTTTGAGTAACATTTGCATGTTAAAAATGTTTCATAAAACCTGGAAAAAAGAAGCTGATACTTCCAAGATAAATTAAGAAAATAAAAAATTACCTCACAGACACTCTTTTGAAACTGTAATGCTTTACAATTTTCTGGATTTGGAATATCAGGGTAGAAGGTTTCTTTAATCCTTTAAATAAAGAATGATGAAGTAAATTTAATAATTGTAAGATTAATTACTAGATGAAAAGCAAGTTAATACATCATCAGGCTTATTTTGAAGTATTTATAAATGCTTTAATGAGTTTCTGAGACAACAATGGGAGCTCTGTAGGATGCTCATTCACCAGAGCAGAAGTGCAACACAGACAAAGGCCACACGTGTCAGTCAGCACTCACCACGTTCTCACAGTTACTATTAAGAGGAACTTTATTATTTGAAATTTCAACAGCAAAAATTACTTTGTTAACATGAGTCTGCAATGCTCTTCTAAATTGCATTCTTACTTTGTCCTTTTTTTTTTTTTTTTGAAATAGTTGTTTATAAAATGTGATTTTTGGTAATGAGAATACGGTTACTAAGACAGACTATTCTATAGTTCCATCACTCCTACTACTTAGGTTTACAAACCAGAATTGCTAGAATACATTCTCTTCTTTGTCATAAATGATGGCATCTTTGAGGCTGGTGAGGACCTGTCTATACACTAATGCAGTCCTTAACCCCAACCCTGGATGGCCCCTGCCAGGTGACCACACAGCTGGCAGGTCCTCTCTCCTGCTGGGCCCTGCTGGCCCCACTTCACCTCATACCACCCACTTCTGCTACACCCAGCCAGCCACACACAGCTCCTGTCATGTACTCCTTACCCTTTGGGGCTCTCCCACCGAGCAGACTGGCCAACCACCTCTCCCTCCCATGACGCAATCCTGCTGCTCTGCTCATGGCCCCTGGCTCCCTGCCTTCCTAGCACCCTCTGCAAGCATGTTATCTGTAGATGTTGTAGTTTAACCCTTCATCCCCACTATGCTGTATGTCTAGGAGGACCACACTCATTTTGTTCACCACAAATCCCCTTTCCCATGGAAAGGGTCACTCTCATTGGTTACATAAATGAATAAATAAACGACATGCCCAGCTTTTCTAAATAAGGCACCAAGACAAGTCAGAACTTAATCATAAAGATTTTATGTGGACAACTATTGCTCATATATATGTCTGTAAATTGTTTTTACTATAACTGCTATTACTTTAAGTTATTACTGAAAACACTAGGGAAAAGTTTATACTTTTACACCCTATTAGTTTTAAGACTTTTAAATAGTATGTTGTATTCTTGCTTAATATTAAAATTTAGCATGAATTCTGACTAAAACAATTTACTAGTTCATTGCAACTAAAAAGAAAAATATGCTTAAAACATAAACTAGGTAAATGTGCTCTTAAGAACAAAACAACAAGCGTGAACACAGGTCCCATTACCATTCTCTTTTCCGATAGCAAAGGATACTTGTTACCACTCCAACAATAACCGCCACCGCCACGGGGATGAGAATGGCGATAATTAGCCCCACAGCTGAAAAGGGAATTTTACAAATATTAAAATCACTATTTTTAGTGTGAAGTATAAACTAAGTTTACATTAGAAGATATTTAAGTTGACAGATTATTTAGGAAAAAAATCAAAATTAACTGCTCTAGGGACATAAAATGTAATATTATATATTAAATATAGTAGTAATATAAGAAGTATTAAAGTAAAGTAGTAAAGAAGTATTAAAACATGACTTTTAATCACTGTAATAGTTTTTATAGTAATATGTTCTCGTAAACAGGGCTTCTCAATCTTTACTTCTGACATTTGAGGCCAGATAGTTCCTTACTGGCAGGAGCAGGGTTGGTGGGCCCAGAGCCCCGCAGGAGCAGCAGCAGCCCGGGCCTCTAAGCGCTAGATAATCAAAAGTGACACCAGACAGTGCCAGCTGCCTCCCACCTGATAAAGCCATCCTCTGTTGGCCCACTGCTTTAGAGAACCAAATCAAGAGCTACGTGTAAACGCCAGCTCTGGGCCAGAGGAGAAACCCAAGATCAAATTAAAGTTCTTTGCTGGTTGACAGTCAAGACCATCACTCTTCTCTCATCTCCAACTTATGAGTGTTGAGCTAAACAAAAAATTTTAAAGAATATTTCTTTTATGTTATCCTGTACACGTTAAAAATCACAGAATAGCTGGGACAAAACATTTTAAACTGGTTGGCCATTATATAAAGTGAACATGAATTTGGACCTCTAGACTTCAGATGTATCTCCATTCATTAATTTCTTAGGTACTCATTTGGAAACAGCTTCAAATAACGGACAAGAATAAACATCCAGTCATCTCACGGCCTTGTAATACTTTCTTCTACCAATCATAAAAATGCAACAAAATGAGGAATTTAAAACAAAAAAGGGGGAAGGGGTCTCTACATAAACCCAAATCACTAGGAACATGACGCATTTAACGATGGAAAGTATCTCACTAGCAATCTGTAACTTACAATTTTCCTTTGTCACCACGTACATACTCTTCTCTGGGCCCATTCCACCATCCGTATAGGCCCGCAAGACCAGGTGGTAGCTTGTTTTTCCTTGAAGGTCAGCAATTCTCAATGTCTTCTGGGATATGTCCGTAATATTCTTAACCTTTATGTCAGAACGACCTATTTTTTTAAATGGAAACTATTGTTACTAATGTCTACCTCTGGTAACTCAGACCTGTCACATCACCTACCCTTCTAGGGTGATGCCCTTCTGTGGCCACCCCCAGCCAGGGCCACATTCAAGTTCTACCTCTGTCAGCCAGCAGCTATGTGGTCTGGGCCTACTATTTAAACCCCTCTGAACTTGAATTTTCTCTAACTATAAAACAGACTATGGGCTGGGTACAGCGGTTCATGTTTGCAATCCTAGCAATACTTTGTGAGGCCAAGGCAGGAGGATCATTTGACACCAGGAATTCAAGACCAAAAGTGAGACCCTTATGTCTCACTTATAAAAGATATGCCTATAAAGGAAAAATCAGCCAGGTGTAATGCCAGGTGCCTGCTGTCCCAGTTTCTTGGGAGGCTCAGGCAGAACCATCAATTGAGCCCCAAGAGCTCAAGGTTACAGTGAGCAATGATCATGCCACTGAATTCCAGCCTGGGTGACAGGGTTAAGATGCTTTCTGTTTAAAAAAAAGAACAAATAAGAAATATTACAACTCACCTCCCAGGGCTACAGGACTGCATCAAATTTTCACACACATCCTCTAGAATAATGCCTGGCATACAGAAGGCATTTTGCTCCTAAGAGCATGAAAACCCAAACCCACCCGAGCTGACCCTGCCAGTGAGAGTGGGAGGCAGGAGGAAGCACAAGTGCAGACAGAGGGCAAGGAGCTCAGACCACTCAGAAAAAGCATCAGTGTTATGGGAATTCTCAAATGGCAGGCTAAGGAGAAAGTCTGAGTCAAACTTCAAAACAAAGTGTGAAAAACTATCTACACTATTACTTTTCAAAATTTTAAGCAGAATAATACAAGATGATAGTTTTAAAAATCATACAGTACCAAACAGCTAATGACAAAAAGGAGCCGCTACCTGCCAGCCTCTCTGCTCACCCCCACAGCCACTTTAAAACCACGTTAAGGTTTCTCGGGTGTTTGCCTCCGTACTTCAAAATAACAAACTTGAACAGGTGCTCTTAACTTTGACCTTTTAAACCTAAAGGCAGATGGAAACGGAGCCCCTCCGCCCCCTGCCACTCTTTCCCCCATCATTCATCTAGGAGCACTGGAACATCTGCTGAAGCCACACAACACGGGATGCTCAGAGCCTGCTATGCACGACCACGTTTCCTTTCTTGATTTCCTATTGTTTAACTGCTTTTTATCCTCCTTTGCTCGCTTTTCTTTACACCAATTCCTAATTCCTCCCACATCTTCCAATGAAGATTCAATATAATTTTCCACATGGTCAAATACAATAAATCCCACACCTCACCTCTGCTTGGCTGCCTGCCCCTCCCTCCGGGACCCTTCCATCCCAGGACCCCTCTGTCCTGGGAGCCCTCCCTCCAGGACCCCTCTGTTCCTGGACAGCCTCCCTCTCCCGCTCTCCCAGCTGCCGCTTCCTGATCTTCCTCACTTCCTTTCTGGGTTGCCACAATGCCCTCCTCTATTTGCTGCCTGAGAAGGACAACATGGGGAAAGTGAACACTTGAGGCTAAACCGTCTTCACACTACTCTCACACTGGTTGACAGGCTGACGGAGGACAGAACTTTAGGCGGGAAGTAATTTTCACTCAGTATTTTTAAGACAGTGCTGTGGTCTCTTCTAGTACCTAGTGTTGCTAGAAGTCTGCTGCCGTTCTTATTTCTGATTCCTTGCATGTGACCTGCTTTTCTCTATTTCCAGGGCTTTTTCCCTTCATGTTTTGTGCTCTAAAAGTTCATGATGACATACCTGGACATAGACCTTTTTTCTATTTATTTTACATGTATTTAATGAATCCTTTTACTGTACATATACTGTTCCTCTCTTATCCTGAGGGGATATGTCCCAAGACCCCCAATGGATGCCTGAAATCACAGTTAGTACCCAACTCTGGATAGAAGAGGTTTTCTCCCTATATACACATGCCTATGATATCGTTTAATTTATAAATCAGGCACAGTAAGAGATTAACAATAACTAAAGAACAGAACAATTATAACAATATGCTCCAATAAATGTTACATGACTGTGGTCTCGCTCTTGCTCAAAATATCTTAATGTACTTTACTGACCTATTTTTGGACTGTCATTCACTGCAGGTAACTGAATCCGTGGAATGTCAAACTGTGGATAAGGGGGCCCTACTTGCACTCAAGTCCTTCAGTTCTGAGAAATTTTCTTCAGTCTACCCCTCTACTCAGCCCAGGCTCATCCTACCCATTTGCCTCCACTACCTGGTCTGGCAGTATGAATCCAGTCACTTCTCCATGAGAACTGACTTACATTTCATTATCCTCTACTCTTCTAAGTCATCTGTCCCACTTCTACCCCCAAATTTCTGACTCTTCTTTTTTGGTGTTATCTAGTCTCTCACATTCTTTCTCTTTGTGCCTTCATAAGAGTTAGGAACTGGTCAGGCAACTGGAAATCCAGATGTTAGAATTTTAACTGGTTCAGGTGTGAAATTTCTAAGCATCTGAAGAAAGTTAAACTAGATGCGGGATGTTTGCAGGATTTGATAGGAGATTTCTCCTATCCACAGACAACCCCAAAGGTTGAGGAAATGCAGACCTCAGTGAGCCGGGGCAGGCGTACACTGAACGCAGCTGCTCTGGGAATGACTCAGATAATGCCCACTCAGCATTTCGATGCCGAGTTGTGTTCTCTACTTGTCAGACAGGCATTAAATAATTAAAATGATTTCTTTCCAAGGAGAGGTCATCCAGGGAAATGAGAGCTCTCAAACTGAAAAGATGATATGCTTGTGTTATGTGGCTATGAGTAAGAAACATCTGACTCCCGACAAATATAATTTAAGGAAAAACCAGAAACTCATATAAACAGTTTTGTATCTGTGAAGCTACAAATAGAAAATTGTATGTCTAAAGTCTCTGGACATACAATCACCCATTGCCCAGGAATGTCTGTATTTTTTAAGGCTTAATGACTAAATACACACATTCCCAGTAAAGTCAATTAAGTTTCCCAGCTTATCAAGGCCACAGCTAAAGATGTTGCTAATGGGCTGATGGCTCTTGGGTGAATTATAACTGAGTCTGTGAAGTCATTCTTTGGATTCCTGAGCTTCTCTCTCCCAATTTTCTAAGACTTTTCTCCTTTTTTAAAGTAAACTTCACGAGATACTATGTTATGGATCACGCAAGGCTACAAGAGATGATCTCTGTTCTCTGGTGTTTATAATCAAAGGCTTCAGAATAAAGTATTTAAATTGACTTCTGAAAGACTACATGTCATTCATCGCATAAGAAAATCTGAAAACTAAAATATTCACAAAATGACCCTTTCTCCCTCTTCTTCCTCTGTGGGTAATGAGAAACTTCTACGACACACACCACATTCACACAGTCATTCACTCACCTGATTCCAAATCCCTCATCTTAGACGTGTCTCTTTCTCCTTTCTCAAAGTAAAATAAATATCCTCTTAAAAAGCCTCTAAGCTCTTCCACAGGAATATCTTCCCATTTTACCAATATGGAATCTGCAGAAGTATCTTCAACACTAAAATCTGGTGCAACAACTGGAGCTGTAAAAGGAAAAAGTCGGTTGCTAAAGTTGGGTTTACTAAAACAGAGTAGGACAATAATGTTTCATGAGGTTTCTAGCCCCCAAAATAACCTGGAATTAAAAGCTTTATTCTCCATTTAATCATGAACTTCCAGAAATATTATGATAAACATTAATAACTATAGGCAGAAAAATATTTATAGCAACAATGGTAGAACTTACACCACTACTGCTTTTAGACAAAATCTGTATCTAGGGAAGTAACCTATGCAAAATCTTTAAGTGGCTACTCAAATAGACTTATTTGTATTTCCATTCCTTACTGACAGTCTTGAATAAGTTTTAAACTTTATTATATAAGAGCAAATTAAACATTTCTGACATCCAAGTTAAGATTTAATTTTCTGGATGACAAAAGTAAAATTATGAATTTCAGTGTAGTGGGGTTATTAGTTCTCCAATTATGTGCCCAGATACCACCAGTGGTCTCTAGGTTAAAATGTGAGATGGTCTGCCTCTAAAACCACACAGTCCAAAGAAAAACTTCAGGGTCTTATCTAAATTTTAACTCTTCTTCTTGGAATAAAAAATCAAATAAACATTTTTAAATTTACCTTACACCTTCCTTGAACTATGAACTAAACATCTAATTCCATTTATTTTAGGAATTCAATCTTACTACTATTGCTGAGTTTTAATTTTTCATTGTTATCTTGAAGTCTAAAAACAACTTACCCATTTAACTTACCCAATTCTTCTGTATATCCAATTATGGAACGTAGTAACTGATATCCTTGATTTTTGCACCCATACAGGAAAAAATTATATCTTATACCTGGTTGAAACTGATCTATAAGATGAGCACAATAAATAAACTTTCATAAATATATATATATATTACCATGAATATCCAGTGTAGAAACATAAAATTTATAATAACTTATTCTGAAATTTCCAAAGATAATTTTCAACAATTGTTTTTTTCAATAAAAAATACATCTATAGCTTCAAAACTGGTAAACAGAATAAATATTGGCTAAACAAAAATTAAGCACATTTGCTTTTATTATAATAAGAAGTCTAGTACTATAACATGCCATCTCCTTGCAGAGAAAAAAGGTGACCAAGGCTTACATTTTGTTCCTAAAAATCAAGCAATGATGATGTCTTCCTGGATATGATCCAGGGTCAGGTCACTAAAACAAACTATTGCAGCTCTGTATCATGCCTCTATAAATCCCTTCCCTACACAGTGTTATTGCTGGGTTGGAAAAAAAAAACTACTCTCTTCCTTGCTCCAAGAAGCAGAACTGAAAGTTAACTCTATCTTGAAGCTTTACTGTTAAAGATACCTTATGGTCTATTCCTCTTTACAGCATTATCATGAAGTGCTGGGTCAGTTAATTCCTTAAGACATGCAGGGGAAGTACCTTAACTTTAGTTCAGAAGGCCCTTTTAAGCACCTCAATAGAATACAATGTGTGTCCCTGGGGAACACAGAGATGCACACTCCCCTCACCCCACAGCTTGGAGACCTGGCAGAGAGCTGGGGAAGGCAGATGTGCGAGGGTGGCCAAGACCGCATGTTATACTGAAGTATGGAGCAGAAGCTGTGGAAACTTAAATAAGAGGTCAGATGAGTCCAGGAAGATCAGAAAAAGCTACCATTGCACAATAAAATCTGAAAACTAAAATATTCACAAATGACTGCATTTTCATTTCCTTATTCTTAAATGGGCCTTGAAGAACAATGAGCAGTTCATTAGTGATGATCTAGGAAGAAAATGCTGGAGGGGAATCAGTAGCATATGCCATTGCATTTAATTTGCTGAATACAATGATTTTAGTGTGGTTAAAGCATCAGTTTTCCAGTTTTGTACCCACAGAACATCGTGGTCTACAGGCTCAAATGGGTCAGCCTCTGACATCACATAATCCAGAGAAAAACTGGACAGATTTGTCTAAATTTTAACTTTTCTTCCAATATTCTTCCTTAAATGTTTGCTTTGTGCAGGCAAGTTCTAATTAAATATTAATGGAAACTCAAACTTAACCAACAGTGTTTAGTTTGTAACTTTTTTCTTTGGGGGAAATTATGCTTATAGTTATGACTTTATATTGCATGTACATTAGTAAGTCTATAATCTCGTTTTATGTAAAATTATGTATTATAAATATTCTATAGGACTTGTCTCCTTAAAAAAAAAAAGAGCCTCAGTGGGTTAGAGCATTAACAACGTACTGAGGCCATAAAAGAGAACAGACCACAGGATAAGAATGGAATAAGAGGCCTACTATGTTCTGGAAGCTCAGCAATAAATAAAAGATAACATTCCCAACCTCCTGAAGCTTTGAATAGCCTCAAATTTGAATACAGGTTCTATCATATACTAATTTTGTGACCTTGGACAAGTTACCTAATTTCTCAGAGTCTGTTTTCTCAAACCCACTTATAGGGCCTTTGCTTATCTGAGTTGGCACAGACGTTCTCCCTCAATCATCATGGGGCCCATGTCTCTATATCCCACAGGTCTCAGCCAACACTTACATCCACAGATATTCTCTTCACATCCACTCCATCCTACCCTACTCCATCCCAATTCTTCTGAAAGCCTAGGTGAGAAAGAGCAGACTGTAACTGTGTGAGGCTCAATCAGCTCCATGGAGGTACAGGAAAAAGAAGGGGGGGTGTATGGCTGGGCACCCCAACAAAGGAAGTATGCTCTAAGAAAGGATAAAGGGTACAGCTTGGAAGACCATCAATGCTTTGGCCAGTTCCATATGTGAAGGAGTTTCACTTTACTCCAAGCAGAACTGGAAAATAATCTGAAGCTGTATGTGCTAATCCACTGAACAGGACTCATCCTTACCACTGACAGTGAAACCGCAGACTCGCAGAGAGTGTTCCTGGGAGAGAGGTAATGAGCAGGTGGCTGCTCAGCGCACTAAAGTGTGAGGGCGAGCCAGGAGGCAGAAATGAAGCAAGAAGCTTCATGGGCTCCAGGTTCCAGAAACCCCACATGATGGGCATGGCACACCATCATCAGCTACTCAGAAGGCACCGGGGTACTGAAAAGAGGCCCTTCCAAAGGACATGGCTGCTTTGGCTTGTAGGTTTCCAAAGACTCCCCTGCAGCTAAGCTTCGGAAGCAGGCTACATAACATCAAGGGCCTCACGGCTCAAGGGAGCAGCAGAAGAAAGGAGTGCAAGCCCCCCAGTGTGCTCACACCCACAAGGTTGCTGCCACCACCACGACAGCAGGGAATGAGGTTGGGGTCACGTCCTCTGTGCTCATCTCCTCAGACTCAGTCACCTAGGCCCTGGGCCAATGACAGCAAAGGAATCAGAGTGAGACCACATGCTTACAGTTTGGAGTCTTCTCTTTTCATGAGTATTTCCCGATGTTGTCAAATCCTTCATGTAATTCCTAATGCTATTTAACTTTCCATTTTATAGATGTGACATCATGTACTCATTCTCTTAATTGCTATTTGGGTCATTTTCAATTTTTTGCAATGACAAATGATATGGTGAACATTCGACACTGATGTAAATCTGTTGTTGTCCACTTATTTCTTAGAATGAATTCCAGACAAATAACTACTAAATCAAAGGGTTTGAACCCCTTCACATACAAACTGCCACAAACTACCTTCTGAGAAAGTGAAAGCCACTCATAGCCACCTAGTGGTACAGGAGAATGATCACGTCACTGCACCCAATCCCACATGTATTGCGTTTTAAAAATATTTTTTCAGAACTTGAATTGAGAGACACAACCCATCTTACCAGATTCTACGAGAGCTTCAGTGCTGTTTGAAGGAACTTTTCTCCAGTCCATAAGGCATGGTTGGGACTGAGACGAGTTACACCACTTGATGACATAGTCACAGGTCATGTTGGGGTCGTAATGCCAAGTGAGGAGAATTCCCCTTCCCATTCCAACGGCTTGCTCTGTTTTCAGATGATCTTCAACAAGAACATTTTACCGGCATTAAAATCAAAGCTCACGAGAATGGATTGGAGTTATAAAAATTACTTCACTGTAAAGAAATTATAAAACGGTACTCAAACCAGATCAACCTTTAGCAAAGATTAGAAGTGTTGCTTGTTATTTTTATTATAACAATTATAGCATTTACCTGTCCACAGAGATTAACACAGCAGCAGAAAGGAAATGACAGAAAAAAACAAGAAACAAACAAACAGCTAGTATCAGGCAGTGACGTCCTGGGGCCGGGATACGAAGATCAAGACCAGGAAGGACGGGTTGAGGGCGTGCATTGGTGGGGCGCTGGTGGGGACAGGGCTTGGTAAGGCAGAGAGGCAGCAGGAGGCTGGGGAAGACACGTAGACAGTCTCAAGCTCTCTTCTTATCATCTACCACTGACTCCTGGCTCCTGAGAGCACAGAGGGAGGGGGAGGGCAGGGCAAACACACAGGAAGAAGGAATGAACTGGACCCTTTTCTTTCTTTGGCAGAAAACTGCTACCCCAGACCTGGGCTGGAGGGGATTCTGGATGCAGGGAGCAAGGTGGGGGAGAGGGGATCCCTCACTTCAGGTGGACACAGGAAGGGGGACACCTATACTGTGCCCCCTGCCTACAGAGAGGGAGGGCACAGAAGCTGGGGGTAAGGAGACACAGTGGGGGCTGTGGAAAGGTTTGGTCTCCTCATCCTGCTAGATCTTACTTAGGTGAGAGGTGGGGGCCCAGGCTAGGGGTGAGGAATTGAGGTAGGGGTTAGGGTAGTGTGGTCAAAAGGGAGAGGGACATTTCTACAATAGAAGAAAGGAAGTAATTTCTACAATTGATTTATATTTAATGGTCTGGTAAAATATCACAGAAAGGTTTTTTGACCAAAATTTGCATTCAAAAAGTACTACTGAACACAAGACAACAGTTGGCTTAGATCACAGACCGGCCACACATAACAGCTTCTGGGCTCAAGGTAAGCAGGGCCACCAACCCTGGGAATCCTCGAGGAAGGAGGTATTGTGGGGCTTTGATACTTGTCTGAAGCTGATGACTCGGCCACTGTTAGTCCTGTAAATTACTGTCTTCAAGGGACACATGGAAAAGGTAGGGTGGTAGCTCTTGAATTGAAAGACAACAGAGCGACTGCCTAGCACTGGGATGTGCCATCTAAATCAGGAGGCTATCTTTTCATGGACGTTTGCATGTCTCTCTCTTATACATTTTTTGCCAGGTCAAAATGAAGAGCCATTAGCCTATACTGCTATACCACTGCCCCAAGGGCCTCTCCAGCCAGGTACGCCGCCTGGGCTCTGGGCATGCTCAGCATCTCTGCCATCCACGGTGCTTCCCCGTTCCTTCCTCCTAACACAACCAAGAGCCAGTCAGGCAACAAGCAGTAAGAAAATGCCTCATGCCAGAGCTAAAAAGACGTGCAGGGGACCCACACTGGACCAGTTTTTCTTCCTCTAGGAGCAGGCAGGTATTGAAAGGTGCTCCCATATTGGGGGCAAAGGGGGGACAGAAAACGACTTGAAAGAGCACTTCAGTGGAAGAAGGGGGTACAAGTGGCCATTTGAAAGCAATGACTCAAAAAGTTGTCGAGGTAGAGAAACTAGGGAGGAATATACCAGTCACTGAAAAATGTGTAAAATTTAAAGGAAGATTCTAAATAATTTTAAAATTATACTAGTCATTTTTTAAAAGCCTATGTTGAAGATTTAACTTAGACTGCAGAAGACTTTCTTATCAATAAAGAATTCCTATGAGTAAGGAATTTCTTATCAAAAACTGCCAATTAAAATGAGTATTTCTTCCTGAGTGTAGCTGACACAGCATGAACTCTCAGTCTTGGACAGATATTTGAATAAGCTGTTACAATTATTCTTCCTAAAAGCACTATCCACTACCATAACTCTTCAACATTACATACTATGAAGTAAGTGAACTCTGCGATTATTTACCCATCAGTGCACATGCGTCAAGTCAACACCAATGACTGTTCCCTCCCAGTGAACAGCAGACACTAATCCACTTGTTCCTCCTTAATGTATCAGTAGCAGCGGGATATATGAGAAAAATACTGATATCATATAAGAGCAAGTCATATCCAAATTGTTCACTTTAATTTCCTATTCTCGTATACTAAATCATCTTAAGCACTCACCATTTGGAATTTCCATGCTAGCTATTTTAGAAGGTGGCGATGAACCCACAGAATTTTTCGCTACCACACTGATGATGTAGTCATTTTTATCAAGTTGTATTTCTGCTTTGTGCTGAGGGTCAAGGATCTCAGAAAGGGACTGTGTTTTCTCATCTGATGAACATGACACATTATAAGAAAGTATTTTTCCATTAGCTTCACTGACGGATAAAGGCTATGAAAAACAGAAAAATAAACTGTTACAAAAACGTGCAAAAAGTGACCATCAGGTCCAAACTGGATGACATATTAACAATAAAAAAGTAACATCAGAAAAGATGACATTCTTAACAGTGTGAAACAGATTTAAAATCCACTGAGACCTGGGTAAATCAGGAGAATGATACTGAAGAAAAACTATTATTTGCTGTAAATAGTAAGAGTGCACAGAAACTTAAAAATTAGGTAAATACACGATAATATTTATCTTCACATTTTTCAGATGCAAAATTTCACAAAGTGATCAGAAACACTGTCCTACTTAACACAAAAAAGAGTCTTTTAAAAAATGTTTATGTAGAGAGAAGGAGGGAGGGAGAGAGGGAGGACATACAAAGTTGAAAGAAAACAAATAAAAATCTCCCATATCCCCACCTCTTAAAATCTATATTTATATTTTTTCTAAGTTTTTCCTAGGGGTAGGTTTTTTATTAACATTGTTTTAATCATACCACACCACAAATTTTCCTATTTATTTACTTCTCTAAAATGTACAGTAGTTTCTTTTAATATGTTATATATATTTTAATGGTTTTATATTTCATGCATTTTTATCAATGTATTGGAATATTCCTAAAATAAATAAAATTTAAATTATTCCCAATTCTTAACAATATTAAAAATAAACACTGTGGAAAACCTTTTTCTGTCACTTTGTTTTCTTTTTCATAATTAGGATTTTTTAATATGAATTTCCAAAAGTGAAGTTACCAAACGAGAGTAAATGAACATCCAATCTTCTTCACGGATAAAGCTAACATGCTTTCAAAACAACTGTCTGCACTTATAAGGCAGTCTGTTCCACCAACTCAGACCAAAGCTGATGTCAGTTAACGCTGCTCAGAGCGCGGCTCAGGAGACATGTCTGATGCCTCGCCAGGGGCCTGCTCCAGTGGGCAGGCTGTTGTCGTCCTAGGACCTATGGGCTTCCTGTGATACTCATGGCTACTCACACCTTGAGACAGCTCCCTGCCGTCTGGTTTCTGTAATTCTCTTTTCCTTCCCAATCTCCTGTGCTGGCCACTGCTGCTCCTCCTCCTCCTTCTTCTCCGCCTCCCCCTCCTAGGCGGCTGGTACCTAGTATGGTGCTATGGTTCCATCCCTAGCCCACTTCTAACCTTCAATGTCCCCCTAAATGAGTCCATGTATGTGCTACTCAAACCTGCATCTTCGGCTCTGACCTCTCCCCTGAGCTCCCGAGCCTTACAGCAACCACCATCTACTTGACTCTTCTCAGCTATCCCAGTGGCACCTGTTTTGAAAACTCAACATTTCCAAAACAACATAATTTTTTAACCCAAACACGCCCTTCCTTAGCAAATAGTGACACCATCAACATAATAAAGTTAGCATCTGAATTGCTTCAGTATGTTCTATCCTTAGTTAACTTTTCACCTAGTTTTAAAAATATCCCAAACGCTAGATTTAAGCAAATTGTGTAAGTAGTTACTGTACTGTCATGAAGTCTGACAGAAAGCTTAGAGAAACCAGGGGACTTTCTAATCAGAAGTGGATGCAACCATCAAATACAGACGACAATCTCAAAGCAATGGAACTCACACTGAACTTAGATGTTTACTTCTTTACTGAAAGCTGTAATAATGTCAAATCCTCATAATAAAATTAAGTTTTACTTCTAATAAAAAAATTTACTATTTAAGAAAATTCTATTATAACTGCCATATAAAATGTAATGTAGTAAACAATTGTTCATGCTTTTGATTTTCATAAAATATTTAAAAAGTCCTTTAATACACAAAAATTAGTAAAATAGAATACAACTCATATTTCATCTTAATATTTTACAAAACCATGCCAAACATTGTAACTGGCATGTTATAGCACAACTGAAGAGAAACAGATTACACATGAAATATGTAAAAGGCAGGTCCCCAATCATAAAAGAAAAATGTAATAAATACTTGAGATTCTGACTTAAAGTGAGGGAGAAGGAATTCATGAAATCCTCAGGTCCTTTACAGGCCTCATAAAACCAAAAGTACGCTCAGAGCTAAGACAGAAGGTCCTCACTCAAATGCCTGTGGGGAACTAGGAGAGATGAGGCATTTGGGGGGTTTTACGACCAGGTTAGATTCTCAGCGATACTGCAAACAAAGCCAGTCTGGGAAATTTCATCTTGATAACCAAACTACCACATATAAGTTAAACATATGGCACTTTGCTTATTAAGTAATAGTTGTTTAAATATACAAAGAAAAATTAGATAGTTACCTTCCAATAGATAATCAAATTTTTTCCATCAGAACTCCACTCTCTCCAAGTGTCAGGTCCCTTTGAAGGAACTAGAAAGGATATTTAGAAATTAGTATGTGAAGGCAGATCGATATTCTATGTATAACAGCACCTGAAATTGTTGTCTAGGGTTATTTGGAATTCTCATTCAAGTGTGTAGTTCAGGGGCTTTCACTTAGAAAATGAAGCAAAGGAAAAGCTAAGCTCTCAGCTTTTACAAACACAAGGCCCCTCGGGCGAGGGAATGGGTAAAATCACCATCCAGGGCCTCCCTGCCCCGGGCCTGTCAGCTTCCCCGACCCTGACCACATCTCCCCTGGCCTCCTGGCTATCCTCAGATACACCAAGGACGCCTGCCTCCGGCTCAGTGAACTTTGTGCTTTCTCCTCTGCTGCCTGGAACTCTCCTCTCAAGTTAGCCATGTGACTTGCTGCCTCACCTTCTGTTATAATCTCCGCTCAAATACTATCTTAGTAGTGAGGTCTTTCCTAACTATGCCACATATTTAAAAGTGCAATTCCCTTTACACTCCCCTACCCGCCGCTCCTGCCTTCATTCCCGGGCCCCTTCCTATCCCTTATTTTCCTCTGTGGCACTTTTCCACCACATGACATATTGTGTATTTATATTTAATTTGTTTCTCATTCTGGACCCTGTAAGCTCCACAGGCAAAGAAAGAGCTCTGGTTTACCTACTACTATCCCTGGTAACTGGAACAATTCCTGACACCTGCAGCTTGAGTAGCCCTTATCACAAATGCTTGGAACCAGAAGTGTTTCAGATGTCAGAATTTTTCATCTTCTACAATATCTTCATATACATAATAAGATATCCTGGGGAGGGGAGCCAAATCTAAACACAAAATTCATTTGTTTCATATGCTCCTTATACACATAGCCTGAAGGTCATTTTATACAGGACTTTAAATAATTTTGTGCATGAAACAAAGTTCATTATTACATACTTATGAGTGGTGTCACATCAGTGTTCAAACAGTTTTAAATCTTGGAACATTTTGGATTTTTGGACTATGGAATGCTCACCCTATACCGTATACCGAGTAAATACTTGCTGAAGGAATTAACGCCTCTTCTCAGTGAGCAACAGCAGCTCCTTAACTTAAGGCAAGCACACGTGCTGCAGTCTCATGAATGACAAGTGACCCCACACCCCTGATATTCATCCTCTCTCACACTGTATGTAGCTGGCCTTTGTGTGACAATAGGGTACAGCAGACATGACAGTATGTCACTTCTGATTTTAGATCACAAAGATATGAAGTCAGAAGCAGAATCATATGATTGTGATTGCTCTGGGAACATCTATACTAGGTACCATGTCATGAGGGTGCTGAGACAGACTGAGAAGACCACATGGTGAGGAACTGAGGCCTCCTGCCACCAGCCATTGAGTAAACCATCCTCAGAGTGGATCCATAGCCCAGTCAAGCCTGCAGCCCCCACTCACCTCCTATTATAAATATTCCAAAGTGCCCTCATCTTTATTCTTCATGTGGGATGGGGCAAAATCTGGATTAACATTTATCATTTTGTATTTTACTATTTGTTTATTTTTTGGAAGAAGTTTTATAATTCCTGGATTATGGATAATAGTACAAATAAATCATTTGCTATCTTTTATTGAATGTGAAGTAGCTCAGGGAATTTCCTCCCAAAACATGACTGGCTGGTGTAAAGAGTATTTTGAAGTAAAGGCTTTTAGTGATCAACAGGCCTTAGAAGGGGCCGTCCCTCTATTGGCATAACTAGATGGGCCCATTAAGGAGAACAATTGTCTTTCCTTCCTCTCCCTGTTATCTCACTATATCCGAAGACCAAGAATACAACCAGACCTGGCCTAATCCATTTTAAAGATGATACCTTTTCTCTCAGGTTAATTTAATTTCCAAAGAATCATTTATAAGTCATACTGTTCCTCTCTATCCACTCATTCTCCCAAGTATCTATTCATTCTCCCTGGTAACCACCTATTGCTTTTTTCTTTTTTTTTTTTCTTTCATTTATTGCCTTTCAAGAGAATCACCTATATTCTTAATCTCCTCCTGCCTTCTAAAATGGGGGTATACAAACTTCTGGATTATAGTGAGATCCTGAGTACCGACTATGATTCTCCCTGTGCATGTGATAAATAAATTTGTAATCTCTTTCTTTTTAATCACCTGAAGGATGAGTTGATCTTTTGGCAAATCTTCAGGGGGCAAAAGGGAAAGTTTAGGTGTGCCCCATAAATAAATACTGAAAATAAAACCTGTTTCTAGATTTAATTTTATTTTTAAAGGTGACATCTGGTTACTTAAGGATAGAATACTATTCTGTCTTTGGAGATTATCATTTTAGAAAACCGGTTACCTGATTTTATACCTATTTCTACCTAGATATACTATAGAAACTGATACTCAAGACCTTTTAAAGCCACATCATTTCATAGGCCTAGGCTCCAAATAAAAACTCTACAAAATCTCTTTATTAATAATTGATTTAGAGAAAAAGGCAATCTGAGCTATAGGCATTATTAAAATTCGAGCAGGAGGAGGAAAGAATGGAGAAAGATCCTCCCATAATCTCGTCACAGTTTCAAGTTTGTTTTCCTATGCATTGTAGTAATATAGTTGCAATCACTCTGTAGACAGGGAAGCCTAGTCCTGTCATACAATTTACGCCAAACATTTTTCCATATTATGACAAAAACTTGAAACTCATCATTTAAAATGTCTTGTGTGATATTTTATTAGTAGAAATTACATAATCTATCTAAGCATTTCCCTATTACCAAAGATTTTGATAATATTTCCTTTAAAAAAAAAAAAACGCTGTAAAACTTCAAATCACACAGTAATAATTAGCCACAAATCACTTAGGTAACTTACTGGCTTCTGTGGTCAAATGTTGTTTTTTATTGCTCCATTTACTCCATTTCCAGAAAGTTTCCGTAGAACAGCGAATACGAAAAGTATATACAGTATATGGATTTAACTTGCCCACAGCAACAAGATAACTTGAATTTTCTACTCCTTTGACTGTGACATTCCGCTGTTAGGAAACAAATAAATTGGTGTGTACACACATACATGTATATGTATATACCATGTGTGTATAAATACACACATATATACATACACTTTTTTTGATAAGAAAGTCTTCATAATTGTAACATAAATCAACCAAATGTCCATATGAGTTTGCATATACAACACGAAAAGCAATTCATCCACTATAATATTGTAATTCTTTTTTTTTTTTTTTTTGAGTTTCTCTTTGCTGTCCTCAGTAGAGTGCCGTGGTGTCACAGTGCACAGCAACCTCCAGCTCTTGGGCCTAGGCAATTCTCTTGCCTCAGCCTCCCAAGTAGCTGGGACCACAGGCACTGCCACAACGTCTGGCTATTTTTTTCTTTTGTTGCAGTTTGGCCAGGGTCAGGTCTAAACTCACCACCATGGGTATATGGGGCCGGCACCCCTACCCACTGAGCCACAGGCACCGCTCAATATTTTAATTCTTACATAAATGCCAAGTCAATGAAATTATGCTGTTATGACAAAAAAGTTAGGATGTCTTTTTGATCCAAATATTGGCTTTAATGATCATCAATTAAATTATGCAGAGGATGATTCAATTTTAATAACCAGTCAATGGCTGACCGTGATACAAAACCTAACATAATTTAGTGATCCTGAAGATCAAATATACTACTCAGATGATATTTGGAAACTTCTTAGAGGTAGGCATCATCCTTTATGCATCTTTGTTAATACGTCACATAGAACCTTTGTTATGGTACTGAACATGTAGTAAATATTCAACAAATACTTATTTAAACTAATTAAATAAAATTAAAATGAAGCAATTCCAAGCAAATTTGAGGATCTGCATGTCTCACAGAAGCTTCCAAGTTCCCGATGATTTGTTACAAAGTGGCTTTTCAGGTTATATTTTGCAGTTTTGGCTGATTTTCTAGAAATAAGTTTCCAAATGAATAGTTAAGTACAATGTCATTTATTTTAGACTTACCACAAACTACAAGATGGTGTAGTATAAAAGTCAACCTAAATACTTAAAATGTACTAAAAAGTCACATTTTGACTTATAATTACCAATTATAACTGGCTTCCATTGCTGCACTTTGCAGTTTTAAAAATCACTTGTGTTCTCTAGTGCCAATTAATCCATTAACTAATGCTAAAGGTTACAGCAAAAACTACTCATTCATTCACAGATTTACTTAACACCTGCTCTGTGCCAGGTACTGCACTGAATCTGGGAACATTCTGAGTAGTAAAAGTCAGATTTACATTTTATAATATCCATTATTACCATTATTTTTCAAATATAAATTTAATGCGATTATTATATTGATAAAATGTCTTTCTTGGGTCTTGGTAAATCTGTAATAAATAATCTGAGAACTTAACCATATCAATTTACTTAATGCATTTTGAGAACAATTTTATCCAAATGCCCATGAAGTTTACAGAAAAATCTTACTTACCAATTCTTGTACTGAATTAATTTTACTAATTTCAATTTGACATAAAAGATTAATCTTTGCAAAGTTGCCTGGTAAATGCCAAGAAAGTATAACAGCTGTTGAATTAATATCCTTCACTCTGAATGAAGTAGGAGTATGGGGGTAAACTGTAAATATAATTTTAAAGATTACTCACTTTAAGTATTTATTTAAAGAGGAAAGCTATCTTCTAGTACACACACATGACAAATGACAATGAAAAAATTTAAAAAACCACAAGGTTTCATTAGTGCTGAACAACAATAATCCTACCCAATTTTGGTTTTCTTTTGTTTTTTGCAGTTTTTTTTTTGGCCAGGGCTGGGTTTGAACCTACCACCTCTGGTTTATGGGGCTGGCACTCTACTCCTTTGAGCCACAGGTGCCACCTGTCTACTCAGTATTTTAACTTTTATTTTTTGGAGACAGAGTCTCACTATATTGCCCTTGGTAGTGGTAGAGTGCCGTGGCATCACAGCTCACAGCAACCTCAATCTCTTGGGCTTAAACAATTCTCTTGCCTCAGCCTCCCAAGTAGCTGGGACTACAGGCACCCACCATAATGCCTGGCTATTTTTTGTTGCAGTTGTCATTGTTGTTAAGCAGGCCCAGGCTGGGCTCAAATCTGCCAGCCTCCGTGTATATGGCTGGCGCCCTACTTACTGAACTACAGGTGCTGAGCCCATACCCAGTATTTGTGGAATCCACAAATCTCACTTTCATTGCTGAGATTATGCCAACATTTTTCAACACTTTTTCAGTTGGTGCTGAGAGTACTAAAAAATCACAGTCTCTACCTTTAAGGACCTCCAGTGCATCCCTAATTGGTCCATTTTCAATTCTGCTCCTGACTGGTCTATTTTCAGGAGAAAACAGACCAATCAGCTCAGCTTTCAGCTCATTGGACAACTGCCCCTATATAAACCCCTGAGTAGAGAGCCTAGGGGCAGACTGTAGCAGACCTTTGAGGGAGAGGAGAGCAAAGACCTCAGCAGACTGCTGCAGATCATCGAGGGACAGCAAGCAGAAGAGGAAGAGCTGTAACACTTGTATCCTGACCTGCAAGGAAGTCTGGCTCTTTGTAAGAGCTCTGACACTTGTATAAAACCTATCTTATCCTGCTCTGCAAGGTTTGGCTCTTTGTAAGAGCTATAATACCTGTTAAATAAAACCTAACTTTCATCCTGTGGTCCGTAGATTCATTCATCGAATCGTCGAGACCAAGAGCCTGGAAATCCAATATCAAAAGTCCAGTATCAGAATGACACCACTGGGAACACCAGGGGATGGGCTCACAAGCCTCCAATTTATTATTTTTATAACTACTATTGTGCACATAATTACTTTGCAATAAAAGTTTTTAAAAATTTGGGCAAAAAAATTCAGAAATCAAACATCATAAGACAGAGCTAGTTTCTTTGTAAATGAGATATTCAAATTTTCATTTAAATTTAGTAAAACTTGAAATTACACATTTTAAAGCTTTTAAAATAAAATTTTAAAATTAATAAAATAAGTAAAACATAACCCTCAGAAGTACCTTCCATTAATCTTAGGCATTTCGACCACTTCTGAAGTTATTTTTAAGACACTGGTTTATGTAGTTAGCTTACCTTTTTCAGTTATGTTAACTAAAATTGTTGATTCTGATCCACCCAGAGGATTGCGAGCAACCAAAGTAAAATTATATATTTCTTGACTTGGAAGCATTTTAAAGAACAACTGATAGCTTTCATTTGTAGGCACGTCAGCTCTTCTAAATCTAACAGATTTTCCTGAAAAACTGTTAATTAAAAGAAAAATAATTGCAAAGTGGTAATAGATAAATATTGTAGGAAAAAACCAATGGGCAGATTTCTTATGATTTTTATTACAAAGTTTACATTTCTAATTTCAGACATTTTACATACTCAGAAAAGAAAATGTAGGCAATATAGAAAATGGAGGAACACAGTCAGCCCTGAGTTACCCAGAGACAGTCTCTGTGTAAAGAGCCTTCCTTCTGGGCTTTGTAGGAGGGAGAGGAGACCCAAAAGCACGTCTCTATGTGGCTAAACTTATACGATTTTATATAGCACATTTGGTTTTACTCGTTTCTTATAAAATAAAGGACCTGGTTCATTTCTCTGTGTCACAGAACATGCACTTCAGCGTCCTCCTTGCCATTCCAACCTTTCCCCGTTATCATTACCTTTCAAACAAAGTGTAGCTGGTATTGCGCGGGCCCACCAGTCCTGTCGGTCTTCCTGGATTCCAAACACACAGAATCTCTTTTAAGTCATGTGTCTCACAGTTTAGGTTTTGAGGAGTATCAGGTGGATCTAACAGAAAAAAAAAAAGTATGATTGAATAAATTTTATCTCATAAACATGTTTTATAAATTTTTTTTTTTTTTTTGAGACAGAGCCTCAAGCTGTTACCCTCAGTAGAGTGCCGTGACGTCACACAGCTCACAGCAACCTCCAACTCCTGAGCTTAAGTGATTCTCTTGTCTCAGCCTCTCAAGTAGCTGGGACTACAGGAGCCTGCCACAACACCCAACTATTTTTTGATTGTAGTTGTCATTGTTGTTTGGCAGGCCCAGGCTAAATTCAAACCCACCAACTCTGGTGTATATGGCTGGTGCCTAAGCTGCTTGAGCTACAGGAGCCATGTTTTATAAATGTTAATGTTTTATACAATTTCCCTAAAAAATGAAATAATGCAGCATTCACATTTTACTTCTGAACAATGTAGGTATTATTCTTTCTATAACATTTTTTGTCAGTTCATATTACATCAGAAATGGTGGATTAAAATATATCAAAAAGTGACTTGTACCTCTTTTGAAAACTTCCTATAGCAACTTGAGACATCAATTATTATTTTTTCCCTGAAATCCTATTCCAGAATCTATTAAATCTCTCAAAGAAACCTGTGTTCAATAAATTAAATCAAAAAAATCTACAGGTTGGGCAGTGCCTGTGGCTCAAAGGAGTAGGCCGCTGGCCCCATATGCCGGAGTTGGTGGGTTCAAACCCAGTCCTGGCCAAAAAAGGGAAAAATCTACAGGTTAAAAGTATTATCGTTTATCATCTAAATACATTGTAATTTGGAAAAAAAATACCAAATCATATTAAAAGTCAATATAACCCATGTTACAAGTTTTGAGTTCTGGAATGTAAAGACTATTATTTACAAAGAACTCTTGCATCTCCTTATATTCAAACTGACTCTTGCTCTTTTTTTTTGGAGACAGAGTCTCAAGCTGTCCCCCTGGGTAGAGTGCTGTGGCATCACAGTTCACAGCAACCTCCAACTCCTGGGCTCAAGCGATTCTCCTGCCTCCACCTCCCAAGTAGCTGGGACTATAGGTGCCCGCCACAACACCTGGTTATTTTTTGGTTGCAGCCGTCATAGTTGTTTGGCGAGCCCGGGCTGGATTCGAACCCACCGGCTCAAGTGTATGTGTCTGACGCCTTAGCCACTTGAGCCATAGGTGCTGAGCTGACTACTGCTCTTTTACTGTTCTTTTTTCTCTTTATTAAAACTGTTCCCCCTGGCTCTGTTGGGACAATAGCAGAAGAAAAAAAAAGTTTTACTTTTTGGTGAGACCCGTAAAGTAATAAATGAAAATGCTGCAGTCTGACACTGTTTATTATAGAAACTGATGCTTCTCTAATCACGTTTAACCAAACATATACAGAAAATGGTATTTCCTACTATCTTATTTATCCAAATTGTGTTTCACTTTAATACGTTTTCTTTTAATTATCTACTTGTTAAAAACTCTGTACATTTTTTTAAATCACATTTTTAAAACACTCCTTAGTTTATAAACCAAAACTTAGAAAATTTCACATACCTTCCCAAAAGATAAGAATTCCTTCGATGATACTTTAACAGGAATAATGAGTGTTATATAATTAAACTAACGCTGACATATTTGTTGTGAAAACTGTTTCAAATCTAAGACCAAATTTTCAGTCACTTTCTTAAAAATTAAAGAATCAACTGAAGCCAAGTAAAAGTTAGGTATAAATCAATTACATTTTTATATACCAGCAAATAAAAAATGAAATTTAAAAAATAAGCCCTTTAAAAAATACCAAGCACTAAGAATAAATTTACCAAAAGGTATAAAGACCTTACATCACTAAGACACACCCAAGATGCAGGTAAATGGAGGGACATACCATGTTCATGGTTTAGAAGATTCAATACCGTAAGAACGAAACATCTGTTAAATTGGTCTATAGCTTTAACATAATCCCAATACAAATTTTAGCAGGACTGTGTGTGTGCTTGTGCGTGCATTGTGTTTGCCTGCATAGGGAAAACTAAAGCAAGCTAATTCTAGAATTCTTTTCAGCAATAAATACCGTGTTAATAGAATATCCTTAAAGAGAATAAATAAGTAAATCTCGATCCCTGACTCACACTGTAACCTGCTCTTGTTAAGTTTCTAAAGAGCTCCCTCTGAGGGGAAGATGCTTCTGCTGCATGATAAATATTAAACAATATTTCAGCCTCTACAAGTTTACATAAAGGTTAATTATGAATTAAGTAACTTAGTTCTAGTACCATAATAGAGTATAAAACTATTTGAAATAATAGACATGGAAACGGTGCATGTTCTCCTCCTTGTAAGTTTTAATTTTCCCGTCTCTATTTTTAAGTGAACAGCTCACTTTTTGGTACCGCTTGTGAAGCAGCTTCACTGCGCATACCACTGGCTCTCAAGTTAAACTCCAGAACCATTTGTGACAAATGTTGTAAGTAATTTCCTAAAATCCCACTAGGAAAAAGAATGGGATTTTCTAAAATTTATATTTGACCATGATCTCTAACTTTCACTGAAATCCAAAAATACATTGCTGGGGAGAGAAAAAGAGGGTAAGGTTAGAGCCATCAAGCTGAGATGTGCACCTAATGCTAGTTATTCCCTTGGAAATATGTCAGTATCTGAATGTAAACCATCACAAGTTACCGCAGAAGTAAAAAAGTGACTGAAAGCCTCTATCTAGATCACAGCTGAAAATTATACCAAAAGAAAATTCACCAAGCAATAAAAAATTATAAAAGCCACCCAATCCATCTTAGACCAAACTCGGAGCCTTTTCATTCAGGATGCAGGGAGGAAGGGAATCACTGCTGGATGCGAAGCCACCAGTGACACCAAAACATTATAGTTGCCACAAAAAAGGAGGTACAAAACTCTAAAACAGGCGTCCTCAAACTGCAGCCCACCTAGGACATTTATCTGGCCCACCGGGTGTTTCTGCTGCCGCTGCCTGTCCTGCTTAGCAGCCAACTCATCCCGGGACCCACAGTCCGGCCCTCCAATGGTCTGAGGGACAGTGAACTGGCCCCCTGCTTAAAAAGTTTGAGGACCCCTGATCTAGAAACACTAAATGCATAATTATTTGTGGACATTTAACACAAGCTGTATGAATAGAGAAGTCTCAACAACATCTTTTGGAAATACCACTGACATTTAGATTGTAGGAGTGATTCTGTTAATAAAGATGCCTCCAAATGATAAAGCATACATCATATACGGACCACAGTGAGAGAGTTAAATGTTCTTCTCACCCATGACCTCCAGGCACGCTGTTCATCTCAAATATATTACTTAAAAGTTAGGGAAGATACATTTTGCTATTGAAAGATTTTGTATAAAATCATTTTAATTTTTTTATTTAGCTACTTAAAAAAGGTATACTTTGATAGGTGAGAGATCAATTTCTATGAATTAATTCCTGAACAATGTGTGACTAAAAAACATTATATACTAATAACCTTAACGCAGCTGTTAACGAAGCATTTAAACTAGACACTAGATGTTTCAAATCTTATAAAACTTACAAGTTACACAGATACAGATATGTAGGAAACAAGTTTGGGTTCATTTTAAAACAAGCAAAACTCCTGGTGCCTTTGTACATCATTTATATGAAAGACAAAGAAATAAGAAAATAAAGCAGAACCATATCCCCCCACCCCCAGAAAAAGAATTAAGGGGTCCCAAAACACGTTAATAGCTCTCTTTAGAATCTTATACTTACATCCTGCGAAAACAACTGTTCCACATACATTATCTTCTATCATGAAAACCACGTTTGTTCCACTACTATCAGAAACAGAAATATTATGGATCTTGATTGCGACATTTTCCCCATCAAGATGGATAAGGGGACAGTATGTACTGCCAATCTGTGCCGATAACACTTTTTCTTGACTCACACAACAAAATGTTATATCTGAGCCTACAAGGATCACTTTGTCTTGAGGGAAAACTTTATTCTGAGAATCAGGAGTCCCTAGAGAGAACAAAAGCAATTATAAATATTTTAGAAGTCTTTTACATAAAACAGTCTCCATTCTAAGACTTTTGTTCATAGGATGATTCTTAAAGTAGCCTATTATACACAAAATATATTAGGGGCCTTGTCATAACAGTGGCCCAAAGATAAGGTATGAAACCCCAGGTTTCAAAGGAATGAGATGTATACCCCCAATTTTTTAAGAAGTGCATGTGGTTTTATTTACTTATGAAGGGGTAATGGTGAGGGAGCAGAAACAGGTAATAGGTCACTGTCTCTGTGCAGGTTACTGAGAAGTCTAAAGGTTTAAATTCAGTGGGTTCATGAACACATGTGAACCACCCACACCAAAACACATCGCTCATTAAAAAACTCCATTCCTTTCATCCTATACTTTCTATTAGTCTATATATATGTTCAAGTACTGTAAGCCTAAAAATTAATTTTTGGTAAGGTGCAGGGGCACATGCCTGCAATCCCAGCACTTTAGGAAGCCAAGATGAAGCATGACTCGAGGCCAGAAGTTCAAGACCAGCCTGGGCAACAGAGCAAGACTCAGTTTCTACAAAAAATAAAAAGATCATCCAGGTGTAGTGGCAGCACATGCCTGTAGTCCCAGCTACTTGGGAGGCTATGAAAGGAAGATCACTTGAGACCATAGTGAGCTGTGATTACACCACTGTACTCCAGCCTAGGTAATAGAGGGAGACGCTATCTCTAAAAAACAAAACAAAACAAAACACCCACAAAGTAACATGGGACCAGTGGTATAATGGATTAAAAAAATAATGTCAAGAAAAATAATTTTCCGTAATCCAGTTCTTCTTTCTTCTGATCCACTCTGACATATTTTTCCATATTGTCACTTGAGTGGTTTATCTACAATAATTACCAGTCTTTTTCAGGACTTCATTTTATTGTCAACAATCCTCTGGGCTTTTCCCAGCATCCCATACTGCCAACATTCTGCCTATGTATGAATTTTACTTAATGTTCAGACCATTTCTGGTATGTCTGCAGGTCCTCATGTCCCCTACAATAACTGCAGCCTTGAGGTATCTGCTCTGCGGGCCAGAAATTGGGAAACCTTTTTAATGTATATTTGATCTCATTATCACCTAATATACAATTTTAAATTGTTCCTCAATGCCTACCACGCTGATTTTCAAAGATGGTGTTTATCCAATCACTTAGCAAGTTCCTTAAAAATACATACTCCTAAAACCTATCTCAGACTCCCTGAATCAAAACTCCAGGCACGGCAGGCTTGGAAGGTCCCTAGGTGACCCTCCTGCAGCTGACTCCAGTTCAAAGAAGTGAAAGCTTACACTAAACCTTGTTTTCAAGCATATGAAATAAAATTTCTTTAAATATAAGCTTACAAGAAATGTTCTTCACTGGGCTCCACTCACTCCACTCTTTGTGACCAGAGAAAAGCAGACTGTCGACATAGCATCTAATTCCCACATAGTGAATGGCACACTCCAAGGGCATGTCTGAGACCCAACTCCAGTGACGGACGGCATCTTTACCATTCAGAGTTGTGTTGTGGGTCACCTACAAATAAACACAAACACCAATTATAATTCCAAGTAGCGATATGTTCTGCTTGTCTTTAGGATTAAAAACAATTGTACACAATCACCAGCTAAGTTGGAGGTTTGTCCTTCTATAAAACTACCTCAGCTTTTCTATGAAAAGGAGAGTTGGAGTAACAATGATCGTAATTCATTGATGTTTATTTCTTCAACTTTAGGTCCTAATGTATAATCATGTAAGATACTGCTAATCATCAAAACATTCAATACAGTGCATAAAGAAAACACAAGTCAGGCGGTGCCTGTGGCTCACAGGAGTAGGGCGCTGGCCCCACATACCCGAGGTACAAGTTCAAATCCAGCCCCGGTCAAATACTACAATAAAAAAAGAAAGAAAACACAAGTTGAGTAACTGTTATTTCAAATACTTGGGACCAAAAAGGGCTTCCGATTTCACATTCTTTTTGAATTTTGGAATATTTGCATTATAACTTATCAATTAAGCACCTCTGATCCAAAAATCCAAAATCCAAAATGCCACACTGAGTATCTCCATTGAGCACCATGTTAGTATTCAAAAAGTTTCAAATTTTGAAGCATTCTGGATTTCAAATTTTCAGATTAGGGATGCTTAATCTGTATACCAATGCCTAATGAGCTCCACTGTTCATGTAGAAAAAATAATTAATGGGTTTGTACCTCCAAGAGCCAACATCAAAGAGAAAAACAGCATTTCAACAAATTGTTTTAAACTAGACTTGTCTTTATATAAGCATTCTGTATTTTAAAGTTTATTTTTACATATGCAACTTATAATAATATAAAACACTAATCTCATTATAAGAAATGGGCAAGATTTCAATCAAATATTGAGACTCTGTAAAAGATAACTTGGAACTTCTAATTAAACACAACAGATTGAACAAAATGTACTTCCTTCACTCTTAGCTCCTAAAATTGCTCTAACACAAAAGCAAACAAGTTTTGTTTAAGGCATAGCTGCACAAGGACAAAATACAGGAGAGGAAAAACCATCACAAAAATTTTGGAAGCTGGTTAGAGGGTGGATGACAGTGACTGACTTAGAAGCTCTGAGAAAGCTGAATCTTAAGCCCCCACTGGAAAAGCCAGGAGACCACCTGGTTTCTATGACAGAAATGCCAAAGGGCTCAGCAAACAGCTGCGCCAGGTTCCCCTGCAAATGTAGGGGGTAGCTGGCTCCAGGCAGCAAGATGGCCTGAAAATTGTCTGACGATAAGAAGATCTGAAGAACCCCTCCCACAGTCTGTGTTACCAAAAGACTATCTTTGTTCGCCACAGCAGAATGAAGATTTATGTTCTAGAAGAGTAAACCAGAATACCTCTGGATTAAAGGATTCCAGGGAGCTGAGAATGGGGAGTGCCATCCTCAAACCAGAGAGACTGCAGGCAGACAACAGTCTTGCAAATGAAACACGAATGCACAGGGTTCTTGATTTTTTTAATTAATACAAAATGACAGCATTATAACCTGTCACAAAATGACTGATTATACAGTTCCAACTTAAATACTATTTGATTTTATTATAAATAAAAATATCACAGTTTATTATGGACCTTTTTACTTTGTTTTTTTCTCTATTTTCCTTTCCTCTTACAATTACTTTTCCATACAAAGATTTTTTTCAAAGGTAAGGAATTACTACCTTGTCAATTTTTTTTTTTTTTTTTTTTTTGGAGACAGAGCCTCAAGCTATTCCCCTGGGTAGAGTGCTGTGGCATCACAGCTCACAGCAACCTCCAACTCCTGGGCTCAACCGATTCTCCTGCCTCTCCCTCCCACATAGCTGGGACTACAGCTGCCTGCCACAATGCCCGGCTATTTTTTTTGGTTGCAGTTGTCATTGTTGTTTGGCAGGCCCAGGCTGGATTTGAACCTGCCAGCTCAGGTGTATGTGGCTGGTGCCTTAGCCACTTGAGCCACAGGTGCCGAGCTTACCTTGTCATTATTAATACAGCTTGTGGAATGACAGGGGTTTAGAATAATAGTTACTTTCATTTATGTCTGACTTCACTCCCATTTCAGAATGTCTTTCTTATTCTAGGGTTCTCTAGTTAAGTTCCTCTTCAAGTTACTTTAGAAATAAAAAATGCTATCCCCCTCCCCCAAAGGAGTAATGACCAATAATATTTGTTTAGCAACTTTACAGATACCATACTCTTTATTTTGGGGACCCCTGAGCAGACATTATCACTACTTTACAAATGAGAACAGTCACTGTAGGCCAGTGGGTGGTCATACAGAATACTAGGCCATAATGCAAAGTTGGGCAATACGGTTTTACACAAGTAATAGTTTTAAGGCAACAATGGTAGAGCTATATCAAATCTAACTGCAAATTAGATCGATAGAACTGCCATTAAAATCGAGAGAAAACAGAGTATTTCAGGCTGAAATAATTAGGATGGCTTTAGAATAAGGAGTAGGATTTGACTTGGCTTTTGAAATACAGGTTTAGCTGGGATAGGTGAAAAGGAAGGGGAGGGAATTTCAGATAAAAAAATATACACTTATTCTAAAATATAAATTATAGTTATTATAAAATTACTTATTTTAAAATATAAAATTTAAGATTTTTGGAACATCTGGCATTAATGCTTTTAAAAAAAGAAAATTTGGTAAAATAAGTAATGATTCCTCATACTGCAATTCCATTAATCAACTATTTATAAAACACTATTCCTTCTTGATAAAAACAAAATCATCACTATTTAAGAGTAGTTAAGAGCACAGATTCTGAAACAAACATCCTAGGTTTGAATTCTGGCTCCACCACTTAATATCTTCCTATGACTCTGTATCTTCATCTGTAAAATGAGGGGGATAGTAATAATAGCATCTTTCTCCTAGGACAGTAGCATGGATAAAAAGAATTAACAAATACAGAGTTTTCAGAACAATGTCAGGAAAAGTCAACGCATTGGATATAATACCTACTAATACAATTATGACTGATACTATTTTAAGAATGACATGCATAGGCTGTCAAAGGTAGTCAAAAAGAAAAAATAAGAAAGTAACTGTGAAACACAGAATAATCTTATTTATTGTCCTTGCTATCTTATCTATGTACTTAGGTGAATAAACTATAAAACCATGAGATGGTCTTCTAACTCTTAAATCTATAAGCATATTCCAAATCCATCATGGAGGAAAAGAGTAAAAGCCCACATGGGGGCATTCCCACAGTGTCAGCCATCAAATTGTTCACAGCTAATCCTTATTACCTCTTAACACTAAGAGCAAACTAAACGGAAATCCTAAGGAAATCATTCATAAATGGGATTAAAAATATAAGACAGAGGAACAGTTGCTAATTACAAGAATGTTATTTCAGATTCTGATAAACTCAAATTTACAGATGTATACAAAATTTCTCAACAATTATTATGATTTAATATGTTTCAAAACATTTGTTTTATGTGACATATTAGACAAAGGTAAAATACACTAAATGTACAATTCTACTTCATTTATGTAAAAATATACATATTAAAAAACTTCTGCAGGAATACACAAAAATAACACTGTGTTCAAGGGGTACAATCATGGCTTCCTCCCTTAATTTCCTAAACCTTCTATAATGGCTATACATGATTTTAATAATTAAAAAGTGATTTTTAAATCATAGCAATTGGTTTATAGAATTTTTTAACTGACACCTAATAATTGTACACATTTACGGGGTACACAGCAGTGTCATGATATACATATACACTGCAGAGCATATTTTTTTCATGAACCCTGAAAGATACCTGATCTCCTTCCTGAATAATCCAAAAGTTCACTGATACCACCTCAAAAGTGATTTTATTGTTCATTTTATTTATTTATTTATTTTTATTGTTGGGGAATCACTGGGTGTACAGCCAGGTTATACTGCTTGCATTTGCTGGGTGAAGTCCCTCTGTTAATAGTGTCCCACCCCCAAGAGGTATGTCACACACCATGGCCCCACACCCTTCTCCCTCCCTCCTTCTCTCCCTCCCCCAGCTCCCCTCCCCCCACCATGTACTAGCATCAATTGTCCTCATATCAGAATTGAGGATTGGATTCTTGCTTCTCCATTCTTGTGATGCTTTACTAAGTTCAATTTAATTTCATAAGAAGAAAATTCTGTTCGTGTTCGAAACTTACTAATTTTACAAGCTCCATACTCTTTTTACGTAGGATTTTAATTTCCCAGATGACATTTGAATGACGTGGAAAAACAGAACCATGGTCATTCCACTTTACGTGTATTGTAGATGTTGAGAAATCAGCAGACAAACTCAAGATTTCTGGAGCAGCTGGAATTAATGCTTTAAAAAAAAAAAGAGACAAAACTTGGTAAAATAAGTAATGATTCCTCATACTGCAATTCCATTAATCAACTATTTTTAAACTCTATTCCTTCTTGATCAAAAATAAATCGTTGAGATTTAAAAGTAAACTCCTAAATCTATTACTGAAAAAAAGAGAATAGAGGTATGTATTTAATCAGTCAGTTCCCAGTGGTAAATCAGGCAACTTTCAGAAATGTATCAGTTGGCTCTTTCATAACCATAACACATTTTCTAATACAAATAGCAATAGAATTCCCATGACATTCTAGTGCAGTGGTTCTCAACCTGTGGGTCACGACCCCTTTGGACTGTATTAAAGGTTCGTGGCATTAGGAAGGTTGAGAACCACTGTTCTAGTGTCATCTGATCAGGTACCTACAAGTAGGCAACATCAGAGAGAAGAAAAAGAGCTTCCTGTGTATGACTATAGGTTGGGCCTAAGAAAATAACAAAACATAGAAAGCTTGTTAGGTAAAGGTTCCCATCTGTTTTCTCTGCAGCCTTCTCACTGTTCTCCCAGTGTCAGAACCCCTTGAGCTGGGAATGTTGCTGACTGTGGGGACGCTACAAGCTATCGATGGTTACACACATCATTAATAAGCAAGACTGTCGCAGGCACTGAGTTCCAAAGGCAATGGTTACTGTGCAGAGGGAGCAGGATGCAAGGAGCGTGTCAGGAAGGTTAGTCTAGCCATGGTATGTAGGAGACTGAGAAGGGAGATGAGGTGATAAGTTTGGAGAAATTCTGGCTGGCGTAATAAAGATGTAGATTCTGATGCCTTATACGGAAAAGAAAGGAAAAAGTGTGATGGACATTTCAGAGAAATGACTGAATCAAAAAATGAAACATCAGTTCTAACACGAAAGAGAAACAACTAATATTCTCTTGAGTTTCTAGTCTAAGCTGTAAGCGGTGACTGCTGCCTGTAATCCTAGCACCCTCATTGGCCGAGGCACCCTCATTGGCTTTAGCTCACGAGTTCAAGATCAGCCCAAGCAAGACACCTTGTCTCTGCTTAAAACAGAAAAACTAGCCAGGTGTTGTGGAGCACACCTGTAGTACCAGCTACTTGGGAGGCTAAGGCAAGAGGATCACTTGAGCCCAAGAGTTTGAAGTTACTGTGACATCATGGCACTCTAGCCTGGGCAACAGCTTGTCTCAAAAAAAAAAAAAAAAAAGTTTTCTGGTCCAGAAAGAAGCAAGAAAGGCAAAGGGACGAGAACCACTGTGAAGAGTTGCAGAAGACGGGCTGTGGGCGATACAGTGTCGGGAGAGCGTGGAGTGGACTCAGAGGAGCTCCCCATGTGCAGGTGAAGACAGAGGGAGAGCTCATAGACACGAAGCCAGTGAAGCTCCTCCTAGGGGACTGCTGGTAGACAGTTAGGCTTTCAAGGAACCAGAGACACCAGCAAGAATCCAGAGAGGGAATGAGCTGGATGCAGAAGGAAACTGAGGAAAAGACGGGATCACTGGGACAAAAGCAAGCGGTTGTCATCTGGGCCAAAAAAAGCAAAGTTCACAGCAGAAGACTGAGACTGATGTCAACATCTGAGGAAGTAATTTAGAAGAACAGTGGGCTGGGAACCTGCATGACCAAAGGTAAAGGAGAAAACCCATGCTCAAGGCTTTGGGCATCTCCTAGAGAGAAACTGGGACACTAGAATAAAAAGGTCACAGAAAGAGCAATGTATCTATGAAAATCATCTGGTCTCCCTACTCATAAAGGATGAGTAAATCGTTGAAAATTTTAGTTTGGTGAACAACAAAGTAAGTCTGAGCATGTTCCACGCTATGAAATATAGGCATTAAGGGCAGAGGCTCAGGCTGTTTTGCATGTTTCCTCCTCACCCAACAGGAGAGTGAAGGTGAGTTAGCAGAAATCCAGAGATGCGTCTTTCTTGGCTCAGTTCTATCTTGGTTGTTCCTCTGAAGTTCAGGGACCAATGAAATAAAATCGAGGTAAGCACAAAACTGCAGGAGCATACAGGGCTAGGACAGCTGAATATGCCAAACAACAAGAATGGCAGAACCAAAACAAATTAGCCTTGAAACTGAAAGATAAATTCTTAAAAAGAGATCTAACTAAAATTTGCTTTAACATAGTGTTCTACGCCAAATTTCTATGAAACGTTTAGAACTGTACAGGACCCAGAACATGTAGACATACACTCTAAACTGTACAACAAAGTCAACGGTGACACAGCTATGTAAGGGCACCAGGGGACACTTTACGAGTTTTAAGTGGGAAGCTATTTGTAAAAAAAGAAAAATGCGGACCAACGAGAGACAAGAAGCTGGCTTGGTGCCAGGACAGAAAAAGCTCAAGGTGCCAGCATGACAGAAAAGAGCGAGAGGCTTCCAACAATGTGGTCCTTCATTCAAATGATTAAAGATGTCACCATGCAGTAACTTTAAAAATCATGAAACGTGGGAGTACTTTACTAAGGCAACACTCATTTTTAAAATGCTTCTCTCCTTGAAAAATTCACATAATTTACATTTTATTTCAACAGCAGCGGGCTACTCTTCAAAACACAAGTCATAGCCAATATTTCAAGCTAAAGACAGTAGCCATAATTACAAATGAAAGGATTTTTTTTTTTTAAAGCCACTGTGTTCCCTTCCTTTTCTTCAGAGCATACGTGGAAGCGTCCCCTAAGCGCCCAGGTCTGCATTTCTTTACAGCTAAAACAGACATCTGAGGACAAATGGTAACTTGTTTTCTAGAAACCTCAAAACTTTTTGATAGGGAAGGAATTTAATCAAAGTTTTGCTTGTTCATTTAAATTAACGCGGCTTTACCCTTAACTACCATATCTCTTTCTTCCTTAGAACATCAGGTGATAGGAATCTTCTCAGCTTTTTTATAGGATCCATATTATTTACCATGTATCAGAACAATCCATATTTTCAGGTTACTTTAAGAAACTTAGATGCTAAAAGTCCCAAGAAGACCTTTTGTGTGTGTGTGTATGTGTGCGCGCAAGCACACTTGGCCTTGATAAGTAAAAACTTTATTGTGTGTGTGTGTGTGTGTGTAAAATTGTGCTTCTTTTGTATGCTTTTCAAAGCATCTTCAGATCTGGAGAAAATTTGATTTTCTCACACTTTTAGAACTTAGAAAATTTGATTTTCTCACACTTCTAGAATAATTTAGTAGCAAACTGTCAAAAGAACCCAGATCCTCTGAAGGACAGCTATCCCTGTACTACCCCTTCAGAGTGTCTCTTGCACACAGTAGATACTCTAAGAACTGCCGATACATCAACCTCCCTTTCTTACATTACCTAATTTGCTTTTCAACTTTCTTACCCCAACAGTATTATTCTAATCATGTTCAGACCCCTGATTATTAAAAATGCTATGAATGTATTTAAAAACAGTACACTAAATTGAGTTGTCTAGATTTGCCTTTCATCTAATGCTGTCATCTTTAAGTGGCTTCTCTGAAAAGAACTGTGGATGCCCACTGAAATCATCAGACACCACCAAACTGGCTCTCTTGCAGACTCCCAAGGGTTTAAAAAATCTGGAATAAAATTAAGTTAGATTCCTCAGTTTACTATAAAATAATTCCAGATGGATGGAAGATTTAAATCAAACTTGATAGCAAAAACAAAAACTCATAAAGAAAAATAGCAAGAGATTCTATTATATAAAAATAAAAACTTACGGTGTAAAAAAAAATCACACCTAAAAAATTACAGACTCAGAAAAATATCTGCAGCAAACATGACAGATTTATTTATTTATTTTGAGGCAGAGCCTCAAGCTGTGGCCCTGGGTAGAGTGCTGTGGCATCACAGCTCACAGCAACCTCCAACTCTTGGGCTTAAGCAATTCTCTTGCCTCAGCCTCCCAAGTAGCTGGGACTACAGGCACCTGCCACAACATCTGGCTTTTTTTTTTTTTTTTTATTGGTTGCAGCAGTCATTGTTGTTTTGGCGGGCCAGGCTGGATTCGAACTCATCAGCTCTGGTGTATGTGGCTGGAGCCTTAGCCAACATGACAGATTTAATACCCAATACATAGAGAGGCTCTTATGAACTGAGACAGAAAAAGATGATATTTTTCATACCATAATACAGACTTATAAATGTAACACACTGAAAATTATATGTCCTCTATTAAGCAGTATGAACCTTACTAATGTATATGCATAAAAAACATATCTCATTCACAGTATTTCTCCTTGGGTACTGGAATCATGGCTGATCTCATAAAATATCATGGCATGGATCTCACATACATGCACAACTACAGGAAAAAAAATAACGAAACATGGTTCCTCCCTCATCCTAAAAGACAGCCCAAGTAGCATGAAGGACAACACATCAACAGGAATAATACTTCAGCTAGAAAACAGGACAGACAGCATGTAGGACAGCATGCACTGTTATCCTCCTTCAAAATCTGTGCTGTCTCAGACATAAAACCCCTCCAAACATGCATCTTGTCCAAAGAATTGTACAAATTGCCAAATTAATGACACTTCTTCTTTTGCTTGCTTCAAAGTCAGTCATCAGTATGACACCACGCCATCACAGTCTTCAGGAGTGTACAGACCTGGCCGCCCCTACATGAAGAGTCAAGACCACTTCAGGTTTTAAGGTCTTAGTGCACAGCATAAATGCCACATCTGGCAGCCAGGTTTTGTTCCCAGGGTGCTTGTGGCATATGTCCTAGTCATCACCCGCAATATATTCCTGCTACAGGCACAGCACTGTCCTCATGGAAGCTATTTTCTCATAAAGGAGACACACAGTAACCCCTACCTTCACAAAGGATCATTAATTTAACGGTGAGAAATGCCTCAAGGGAGAAGTACAGCTGGCCTAACAGTGTGTCAGGAAGCAGTGGACTCTCCTCTGGAAGGGAGTGGCCAAAGATTCCATTTCTCAGGAGCAAGGGCACCTGAGAAATTCTGGCAGGTTGCAGGACTCAGGGAGGCAAAGACGGGTAAAGAGAGAGTACAGAACCAAGGGAAGGATTCTGAACCCTGCGTTGTATATTCTGATTGACTGGAAGATGACAAGTTTGCTTCTTTCCTGATCTTGGCTATGCTTTAATAGCCAAGAAGCTCTTTAAGTAAAGTATTCGTATCACAAACAAAATTCAAAAACAGTAAGTCTCTGCCAACAATAAAGCCGACATAGAAGCTTTATGACTAACAATAGCCCAGTTCAGAGTTATTTTAAAATTGATTTCCTTTTCAGATACTTACAAACGTTTTTTTCACTTAGTATGAATTTACTTGTAAAACCTCCAGCACCATGCTGAGGACTTATTGTTACTTCATGATTACCAGGTGGAAGAGCTGGGATTTCAATATTTGTTCTCACTAACGGATAACAAGGATAGGACCTGCAATATAATAAGAAATGCAATTTTAATTAGGTGCAAAAATTAACAGTGGGGTTTTCATAAAAAAACTTGATTAGCACAAAATATACTGGAAAATGTTTTATGTCCTCCCCCCCCCCCGAAGCAAAAACATGGCAGGTTGTGTTACATTTTAGGACTGAAAAAAGGAGAGTAATGGTAATTTTAATCAATGTGGTGGTAGGGAAAAATAATCAGATTGTACCAGAAAGTAAACAGAGATGACTCTTCCCAGAAACATGGGCTGTTAGCACACACCATTGGGAATCCCACCTCTACCTCCCCTCTGCAGCCTCACATCCCACCACAGACACCCCACCCTCCACTGGGGACCAGAGCACCCCTCAGCTCCTCGGGGGAAGAGTGTGTTCAGCACACAATGCTTGCACAGGATGGAACCTGCTCCTGCACTTGGCTCTCGGTGTACTCTGAATAAAACTCCCTCTTCACTTCTGCTTTCAAAACACTTCCAGTTCCACATCCAGTGGAACAAACAGCTAGTTAAACAAAGTGGTATTTCCCTCTCTGGTTGTACATCCCTTTTTGTCTCTCTAGAACAAGTTCACATTCTTTCTTTGTTTATTCATGTGCATTGTCTCAGGACAATTTTAACAGGACCAGAGGGACCTTCCAGGCTGCCTGCATTCCTGCCCCCACCTAGTGCCCAGCACCCACCTCCACACTATTCACTTAAGACTTTGGACTTGAAAGGTCTGGCTCACTTCTTTCTTGACCTCCTACAGTGAAGCTTCTTTAGGTTCCAGCCATGTAAAACCACCTGACTTCTCCAAATTACACCACTCTACAGGTTCAAGGCATTGTACCCAATATTCTCTCAGGGCAGAATGTCTTTCTGTTCCTTTTCTGCTGAGAACATTGAGTAGCCTCCTCTGCCAGCCTTTCTGCACTCCCACCCTGCCCGGTCTCCATGCCCCACAGCCCTTCACAGGGAACCTCCATGTGACCCACAGCCTTGCTACCATTTGCCAAATATGAACTCCTCCAGAACTAACCTCCTGTCACTGTGGCCTGCGGTGGGCATTCCAGCCATGACTGAACTTTTCACGTTCCCCCTTCTGGGCTAATAGGACTGCTCTTCCCTGTCCTTTTGAAGCAGGGTGTGGCCATGTGGCTTTACTTGGACACAGAAATTTGAGTACTAGTCACTTCTATTAGGTCAGAAAGGAAGCTCTGGAAGCCAGCACAGGCTGTGTCCCCTCTGCTTCCCCTGCCTCCACACCCAGTAATGCCTGGGGCCCTGTAGGAGAAACCCAGCTGACCCCCAAAACACAGAACACAGGCAGGAAGTAACCCTTTGCTTTCATATGCAAGAAATAAGGAAATAAGAATTAAGGGTTGTTTCTGCAACACCACCTGACTGATAAATCACCCCAACACTTAGACTAATGCTTAGCAAATGTATTCTAAATAAGAAACAATCAAATTGCACTGAACATAGACACACATTGATGTCTATCTACATCAGGACTACTCATAGCAAACTGGGACTGGGAGCAGCTCAGTGCTCTGCTGAGATTAGCAGTGGGAAGTGTTCAGACGTGCAGGCTTACAAGTGTTTAGCTCACTCCAAAATGACTTCAGAGGTAAAGTAACAGCCTGGCACTTGCCTCCCAATGCCCATTTCCTTCTTTTCCTTCATAACAGGAACCCCATGTTTACCAGGCACATTGCCACCCACTGGAACATATTCCCAGCCTCTAGTGCAGCTAGGTCTAGCCATCTGATAGGGTTCTGGCCAATGAGATGCAAGCAGAGGTGTGGTGTGGAACTTCTTCGAAGTCTCCTTAAACTGCCCTTCTTTTTATTTCTTGCTTCTTGAAATGCAGACATGATGGTGCTTCTCAAGTATCACCTTGAACCATGAGATCACATGCCAAAAATAGCACAGTAGCATGACAAGATGAGACACCCATGTCAGCCCTTCACCGCCTACCTCCAGACCTTGCACATGAGAGTAAATAACTGTCTGTTGAGCTACTGTTACTGACATTTCCTCTTAGGCATAGCCAAACTTAAACCTGACTAAGGCAGATGCTAGTTTGGAGATCAGTAAAACTTCCGCACAGCAGCCGAGCACAGTAGAGAATCAACGTTTTGGCTAGAAGGGTTCGTTTTCATCTTGACTGATGTTAAGATTCAGAAATTTTTTTTTTTTTTTTGAGACAGATCTTCAAGCTGTTGCCCTGGGTAGAGTGCAGTGGCATCACAGCTCACAGCAACCTTTAACTACTGGGCTTAAGTATTCTCTTGCCTCAGCCTCCCAAGTAGCTAGGACTACAGGCGCCCACCACAACCCCCCTAGCTAATTTTTCTGGTTGTAGTTGTCATTGTCGTTTGGCAGGCCCAGGCTGGATTCGAACATGCCAGCTCTGGTGTATGTGGTTGGCTCCTTAGTCACTTGAATTATAGGCACTGGGCCAAGATTCAGAATTTTTAAGAAATAGCTAAGAATTAGAACTTGGTTATAAAAATTTCCAAAATAAAATGTTTATGTTCTAAAATAAAAGATAAAGAACATCTAGGTTGTAGTTGTGAGTTAAAGTATTTCCATTACCTGCTGTCAATGCAAAGTTCATAAAGAGTACCACGGCCTGCTCCAGGGGGTGCTTTCCATGAACAGTCCCACACTTGTAAATTGTTAGTTGTACACTTCAAATCGTGAGGAGTCCCTGGTGAGGTAGAAATAACACACATGACATACTTAATTAACTGCATTTCACTGTAAAAGGCCACCCCGTCAAACCATTCTCAGGCATAAGCACAAGCCTATGTGGCTACAGAAGGCCCACATTCTTTGGGAAGGGATGACCCTGCAGTCAGGAGAGGGGACTGGTTTACATTTATATTTCTTTCTTTTATTTTTTTTGGAGAGAGAGTGTCTCACTTTGTCACCCTTAGTAGAGTGCTGTGGCATCAGAGCTTACAGCAACCTCAAACTCTTGGGCTCAAGTGATCCTCTTGCCTTAGTCTCCACAACACCTGGCTATTTTTAGAGACTGGGTCTCACTCTGGCTCAGGCTGGTCTCAAACTCGTCAGTTCCAGCAAGCAACCCACGTCAGCCTCCCAGAGTGCAGGGATTACAGGTGTGAGCCACCGCATCTGGCCTATATTTATATTTCTTTCTGTAGCTTTGGTCAAAAAAAGCTAAAGGGTAAACTGATCAAAGTGGGTCAGCTCCTAGATTACTTTGAGGTCAGGTTTCTATCAAAAATTCTACTTCCAGAACACCTAAGGCAAATTGAGGGAATAACCAACGATGCAGACTCAGTGATGGGAGGGAGACAGGATCTGGGGGATTCTAGCAGCCCTTGAATCTCCAATAGCCCCACTTAAAAAAATGAAATCTAAGTAAAATCTATGTGCCTTCCACACAGCCTCTGAGTGTGTAGCCACAACCATTTCACTGCTTGCTCCCACACTGCCCCTCCACAGAATCAATCCTTAGACTGTTACAAAGCATATTAAATTTAAACAGTAACAAACTCACATGAGTTCATTTGAAAAATATACTTTTGTTTAGGTGTGGGCCTGAACAACTGAAAAGTAATTTGTAATACACAAAATTATAATCTTCTAGTTCTTAACCACATCTATAAAACAGCATTATATCATGGAATACATGGGATACAATGAAAAAAAGTCACCCTAAAAAGAAAAGGAGAAGAAAGGGGGTACAAGAGAGAAGGAAAAAGGAAAGAAGGAATAAAAGGAGGGAAAAAGCAACTATAGTGTAAAAACCACATTCCATTTCAAACTCCATGAAAGTGTATGAAAAATATTTTTCCTTTTATTTTTATATTATCCATGGTTGGCATGATATTCACTGTAGCAATAAAGTATAAAGCAATTTATATAAGACAGGAACCAGAACCATAATATTAGAAAGCAGCAATAATCATAATAATAAAGTTGTTTAATGAGTAGGTAAAAAGGAAGATCTTTTTAAATATGAAAATAATATAAAAACTAAACCAAGGGATCACAGGATGGTAATGCCCTTTATAGAAACAAGCTAGGTGAGAGCTACATGAACATTCTCAATGAATGTAAACAGGACGGTAACAAATAACATATTAAAAAGACATTTAGGTTTCAGTGACAGGACATTCTATGAATGCTAAATCAAAGAGACAAAGCCGTGTCTGTGGAGAGGGAGCAGGGACCACAGAGAAGCCGGGAGGCTGCTGGAGGGCAGACTCTGCTTCTGGCCCTGGCTGTGCTGTGGATACAGAAGTACATTCGCTGTCAGAACTCATAGGGCTGTACCCTACAGGGTGGATTTTATTGTATGTAAATGCAAATTATACCTTAATTCTTTTAAATGGTAAAAGAATATTTTCATCTATCTTTAATGTCCTTAAAAAAAAAAAAAACTAAAGTAACATAGAAAAAAAGATTACAGAGAAATGAACTTTAACCACCAAAACCTGCAGGGTTCAATAAAGAAACAAGCTGCTTCATAATCAAAATGGAAGTAATTTTCTCTGAGTCTGATGTACTTACCCTTTCTCTGGCTATTTACACGATTCATTAAGTATAGAAGAACAACTGTCGACAGAAGCCACTGGAAATTTGTAGCAGTCCTCATCCTTTTGTTGTCCACCATCCAGGACAGCCGTTTCAAACGTAAGTAAATATCCATCACCTGTGAAATGTCATCAGTCCCAGGTTAGAAGGAAAATTTCTAACGATGTTCAAACTTCTCTGAAGACACACCTCACACCGTGCACACAAATGAAATGGACACTGGCCGACTATGAGACCGCCTGCGCACTAATGGCTTCAGAGACACCCAAATGCAAGCTGAGTTGAGGAGACACCAACAACTGGCCACTGCTGCTGTCTCAGGCATTCTCTCATGCTGGGCTTCAGAAAGTTCTAGATTATAACTGAGCACACATTCATCAACTTTCCACTCTAACACTATTAGGATATCGAAAAGAGTTTTGACCATTTTAAATGATACATGGATTGATATTTTTATTTTAATTAGTACATATTAACTTTCTGTCACGTATTCATGAAATGTTGGTTTTGTTTTCTATTTGTCATGATGTAAAGTTTTTATTTCATTCAAGTTTAAAATTAAATAATTTAAAGATAAAAAGTCAGGGTAAATAATAGCATGGGGGGTGTTGCAGAGTGACAAAACATTGACAATGACCCACAAATGGTGGTGGTTTAACTAATACTCCAACAACGAAAATGGGAAAGACATGAGACCTCAACGCGTGTCTGCTAAAGAGAGAAGGCATCTGAAAGAGCCGCGACTACGCTGGTGGATGGGCTTCGGGTTGGGGTGGGGGCCCGACACAGGAAGGCGCTGCTGGGAGGGCGGGGAGGGCTCGGGCTCTCAGAGACAGCCTCCCGTCCAGGCTCTGCAGGCATAGCACTAAGAAGACAAAGTCCCTCCCTGTACAAATTCATGAATAAATCAGGAATTTCAGTTCATGGTAATATGCTTTAAAAGCTACAATGAGGCAATGTGCTTGAGAGCGCGTGAGGGAAAGAAGGTCCAACAGCAAGCTGAGACCTTCTTGAGGAGGAGGACATCACTGTGATGAGATGGGAGATGGCAAGACTCTAAGACAAGGACGTGCAGCAGTTGACTGGACAGGAACGGTACCGGGCCATCACAGAGGCCTGATGGCCTCTGTAAGGGTGTGGAGTTTAACTGTGGAGATAGGAAGCCACCAGAATATAGTAATCAGGAGAGATCCGAGATCGCATCTACACTTTAGAGCAGTGGTCCCCAAACTTTTCCATGGACTGGGGGGCAGGAGGGGTGGTGGTGACAGTTTTGACGTGAGTCTACAGGCAACTGATTTATTATGGTCCCTGCTGATGATAATGTGTATTTGCAGCTGCTCCCAGCAGTAGCATCACAAACTCAGCTCCACCTCGGAGCACCAGGCATCAGATTCTCAGAAGGAGCACCCAACACAGATCCTTCACACGTGCAGTTCACAGTACAGCTCGTGCTCCTGTGTGAATCTAATGCCACTACTGATCGGACAGGAGCGGCACTCAAGCAGTGACAGCAGTGACGGGGAGGGGCTTTGTCAATACAGAGGAAACTTTGCTCCAGACTGGGCTGCTGCTCACCTCTTCCTGCAGTGCCGCCCAGTCCCTAACAGGCCCTAGGGTTAGGGACCACAGGCCCAGAGCGACTTCCAGCTGCTCTGTGGCAGGCAGCCTCTAAGGGAGGGCAGCAGAGGCAGGGAAACCAGTCCCAAGAGACTACCATGTGAGGGCTGGAAGAGCAGGAGTGGGGACAGAGGGCCAGACTTGACCTGCTCTAGAGACAAGAGGGTCTTACCCACACATCACAGGACAGCATGACAGTTACAAGCACAGACTGGGTTTGAATCCCAGCTATGCCACTCACTGTGTGCCTCCAGAGGAGCTCTAAGGTTGACCCTGACCTCTCTGTGTCTCAGTTTCCTCATCTGTAAAGTGGGAGTCATAGGGATTAGGGTGCTGGCTCCATATACCAGAGGTGGTGGGTTCAAACCAAGCCCTGGCCAAAAACTGCAAGCAAAAAAAAAAAAAAAAAAATTAGCAATTGGCATTTTAGACATTCCCTGAATACGTTTTCCTCATAAATTTGTTGTGAGGATCAAGTGAACAAATGTGAGTAAAGTGCCTGGAATAATGTCACGCATGTGGTAAGAGCTACTGGTGCATTTGTAGAGATGTAGGGAGAAGAGGAGAAGTGACGGAGGACGACTGCCAACTAGATGTGGCGGCTGAATAACCACGGGCCATTTTCAGTCCTCTCTGGGTACATACGGAAGGGGGCAGTAAGACATGGGGCTGAAGCTAGAGAGTCAAAGATCTGTTTACAAAAGTCGACTGTGACAGGCTCCCAATCCCCCTGCAAACACAGGCATTATCCCCATAGACAACAAAGACTGTCTGAGGAGAGCCAGAGTTGCTAACACACACACAGGTGCCAAGAAGCAAAGCTTTCCACATCAGACATTCAGGGATCTGCCAGAGTCATGAAATTCCCGTCCACTCTCTCTGTCCCTTCTTCCTAGAGTAAAGCTGGCAAATTGACAAGTCCATCCAATACACTGAAAGCTCCTTGTCAGACCCAGACAACCCAGGACCACAAAACACATACCAAGGCCTAAAATCTTAAAGAAAAATTCAGGATAAACAGAATAACCAAAAGGGAAATAAGAATTACTCCTAGGAGAAATAGGGATAATGTAAGAAACAAGAAAACATAAAACAAAAATGAAGAAAAGAAACAAATGAAAAAAACAGAAAAGCTCAGAACTTCTAAATAGTATCCTCACAGCAAACCTGGCACAACCACAAAAACAAGAAGAGGATGCAATGAAAAAAGAATAATCAGAAATAGAAACATCTCTTAGAAGGTAAATATACTGGCTGATATTAAAAATTAAATAAAAAGATAAAACATTGAAAAATGTTTCAGAAATAAAAGTAAAAAAGAAAAGAAACAGAGACTTGATAAAGGAAAGGAGATCCAATATTCAAAGAACCGGAACCCAATGACCCAGTGAGAGATTTCAAAAAATATTCTTCTTAGTGAAAACAGATGGCAGGATCACTTCCTGGCTCTTGCTAAGCACTGTCAAAAACCCAGGAAATGAATCCCTAAATAGCTTAAATAATTAAAAGATCAGGGCATGAGCACACATTTCCAAAGTGTTCAGTTATTTTCTGGATGAATGAATAACTTCCTAGTCAACTCCAGTGTCATCAAGTTTATTCATTAGAATGAAAATGTATTCAGGGAATGTCTAAAACACCAGTGGCTAAAGTTACAGATTACACAGCTGTACAGGAGTAACTGAATAAAGGAGACCGAACGTGAGCCCCCCAAACTCAAACCCTGACTGAAGTAATCACAAACCACATTCACCAACTGGCTAAACATTATCTTGAAATGAAACAATTCCTTCTGGCAAGTCAACATTTACTCTAGAAGAGAGATGTGGGCCCCAGTGCCATGCCAGGGAGAAGTGGCTAGGGCGGGGGAGTGGAGGGAGGCAATCGAAAAGGCGCGCTGGACCAGGTGCTGCCAGATTTAGACTCTAATCTTGGCTCCATTACTAATTAGCAGTATGACTGAGAGTAAATCACTTAATCCCTCCCAGCTTCAGCAGCAGCCATTGTAGCAGAGGCAGCTCCATTTAGGATCCACATCAGAGGCTTCCCTGAGTGAAGCTGTAATATTCCATTCCTGCTGGCAGGGAAGGAACGTGCGGGTGGCAGGGAGCGAGCACAAAGTCAGAGCCAGAAGCAGCCACGGATCAAGGGCTCCCCCGAGGAGGTCAGTGAGCAGCGGGATGGGGGCTCAGGAACAGAACAACCTACAGCTGTTCAGCAAAGTTCTTAATTTAAAACAAACCGGATGATAAAGGCTTCCTATTGTCATAACATTTACATAGAAAATTCTGAGCAAGTCATTTGAGGAATATAATATTATGCTTATAACACATCCAACTTCCCTCCCAAGGAAAACTCCCAAATGGACTTTTAGGCCAGAATAATACATGAACAGGGCCTATCCATGTGCTTTCGGGGGGGAAAAAGGGTGCTTGTGAAACTTTTCTCTGCTCACTTCTGATAGAAACATTGTTAGAATTTACTTTTTTTCCTCACCAATGCCTTATTCCTCAGAGGAGAGCCAATTTTTACAGAATTTTGGGAGCTAGCTTTCGAAATTCAGATAGCTGTGGTTTACCACAACAGGGTGTAAGTGTAAACACCCTGAGGGCCAAAACAGGGAACAAATGCACACACAGGTGGGTGTGAAGGGCAGCCACCTGCTGAGCCTAAAGGTGGTAGCTGCCAGCCTCAGGGTGCCATGTTTTCTGATTTTTATCAAGACAAAGGAGTAATTTTCTAAGAAATGAAAATTCAAGTTTATAAATATAAGCAAGTAATGCATATCTCCTGAACTTCTAGAAGCTAAACAAAATGTACTTTCAGAGCGCCTCCTATCCAAGGGCAGTATCAGTTTGCTTTCTATACAATTATTTTAAAGGATAAGAAAATGTCAATAAACTCCCTGTTTAAGAAAGGTGACCATGCAGAATCAATTTATAAAACTGTTCAATGGAAGGGGGAAAAAGCTGTTTGTGTTTTTTTTTTTTTTTTGAGACACAGTCTCACTATGTTGCTCTCCATACAGTGTTGTGCTGTCACAGCTCACAGCAACCTCAAACTCCTGGGCTTAAGCAACTTTCTTGTCTCAGCCTCCCAAGTAGCTGGGACTACAGGTGCGCACCACAACGCCTGGCTTTTTGTTGCAGTTGTCATTGTTTAGCTGACCTGGGCCAGGTTTGAACCTGCCAGGCTCGGTGTATATGGCGTGTATGTGGCTGGCACCGTAAGCACTGTACTGCAGGCGCCAAGCCTGTTTTGCTTCTTTACAGGTATGTGACCTCAGTCTCAGGCCATCAGGATGTATAGAGAGAACCCGCAGCTGGGGCTCCACACGCAAAGCTCCAAGTCCCGGCATGAAAAATGGACTGTTCACATGTGTACTTGGACTTGCTTTCCCCTTAACGTTGAGAATTCTGGTTCCAGTCAGTGTGCATAGAGGGTTTGGGGCCTTTCTGCTGAGGGTTAATCAGAAAAAGGAGTTGAGAAAAGTAAAGC